TATATACAACAGTCAGTGAGTACATTGTATAAAAACTATAATACTATAGTTCCCCGATATTAGGTCAATAGTTATTTCAAATATGTCAATTGTATGTATAATATATACATAGTATAAAAACTATAGTACATGCTATTGTATTAGTCAATATTTCAAATATGTCAAGTATGTACAGAATACTTTATATTTTATTCAAGTAGAAAAAACAACTGTCTAATATGTCATACTAACCCTGAGAAAGGAAATGAAATGTGGTTTAACGTCCTACTGTTCTGCTCCGACTAGGCTAATGAAGACGAGTATATGCCATGAAGTGTGCTATGCGGGGAATTTTGTCACGACAGCAGCACTATAGTCTACTCTTATATCGAATTCCAACTGTCTGTCAAGGGTTATTTTACAGTACGTGCACCCCACATTGTTCATTATCAGGCCTTCCATCCTGCACCACTGACGACGGGGAACCACGCCGGAAATTCCTGATGTACTTTCTCGTCCAACAGAGTCTCCAGGTTAGCGAGTCAACGTCTTAGTCACGAAGCCACCCTGGCTTTCCATACAACATGTAGTGAGAACAAGAGAGTAATGGGGTTTAAAGTCCACTTGACACAAACATGGTCATTTTGGGATTAAAATATGGTAAAATTTAATTTAAATAATTTGCATGTGCACTGAAGTCTTTAGCACTTGGAGGAAACCGATGTAAGAGTAAGCCGTAGTGCGGGTTTTGATAAAATTTCTCTTATAGCACACTGTATGGTATATGTCGTCTTTATTAGCCCAGTCGAAAGAGCAGAACAGTAGAACGTTAAACCCCATTTCATTTTATTCTGAAATTGATTGAAGTTTGTTGATAAAGAGGACAGTAAACCCCATTCTATTCCATGTAATACTAGTGGTTTGGGTGTTAATTTATTCAACTGTGATGTAATAGTTTACTAGGTATAAAATAGTTTGATTAAGATTTGTAAACACCTGATAAACCCTTATATAAATAATATACTCCACCCTACCATATCTACCTGTACCTGTACCATAGTCAACCTAATAATATACCCCACCCTACCATATCTACCTGTATCATAGTCAATCTAATAATTCACACACTAAACACACAACATGCAATTAAAAAAAAATATCTTTTTATTCCATTTTTCCTATTCAGTAGTTTTCGTTTTCTTCAAGTCATCATATAAAAATATGTAACTACATATGTAAAACTAGTGGGTTTTACGTCATCTGGTTTCCTTCCACTGCTAAAGACCCCTACATTCAAGCAAAATATTGAAATAACATTGAACTATATTAGTCCCGACATTACCTAGTTTGTGTCAAGTGGACGTTAAACCCCATTTTTCTCTCTCACTCTCCCTTTATTAAATGTCTGCTTAACATCCATCTTGGAGTGGTTGGATGGTCAAATGGTTAGTATGAATCGTAAGGTCTGTTGTTGAGTCAACTGGCGTGGTTTTGAATCCCCGGTTGTACGTAACAAGGAGTAGGGTCACCTGTCCAACCTCGTGGGTTTTCTCCAGGTCCTCCCACTGCTAAAGACCCCTACATGCAAGCAATTATTGAAATAAAATAGAACTATTATGTTAGTCCCGAAATGACCTAGTTTGTGTCGAGTGTCTCTCTCTAACAACCAGTTAGTTATTGTGTTATTATATTCAGTATGGTAATACCTACATGTCACTGGGTGTAGTCTACATGCATTACACAATACTAGTAAAGTACAAGTAAATAGATAACACTATTGTTTAATTTCAATATTTTAAATATATAGGTATATTGTCTAATCAATAGATATACACAGTGTCAGATCTATAAATACCATCAAGGTAAACACCCTACTGTCTTTAGCCCTTTAGGGAGTTAAATGTACATGGGGTTTAACATCCTACTGTTCTGTTCTGACTGGGCTAACCATACAGTGTGCTATGAGGGAAATTTTGCCCAGACAGCGGTACTACAGCTGAGTCAAGTGGTATGGGTTTGATTCCAAGACAAGGAGTAGGGTCAGATGTCCAACTTTGTCGATTTTCTTTGGGTCTTCCAGTTTCCTGTCACAGCTAAAGATCCCTACGTGTACATGCAAAAGAATTATTGAAATAAAATTGAACCATATGTTAGTCCCAAAATGTCCTAGTCTTTCTTGTGGCACTGTAGAAATGTGCAATTTTAAACAATGAAATGCATATTGAATACCAATAATATAAAATATCATTTTTATATCATTTTTTAAGACTTCATACCTTTTACACTATCTACATGTATATTCAAAGTTTTTCAATTTATTACATGACAGCTGTTTACAAAGCATTGAACCAAATTTTTCATTATTTCATAAAACAACAAAGAAAAGCTAAAAATAATTTTTCTGAATAATTCTAAAAATAGTAACTTATGAAGGTGAAAATGCGTTGTAATACTATGAAAGATATGTAAATTATGTCTAGGGTCTACCACCCTGATGTCTTTTATTATAAGATTGTAGACCACTGTCTCATTCTATTCTACAGTGCGTATTTATAATCAATCAAGCGTAAAATATGAATATCCACAAGAGAACAGGATATTAACCTCTATACAAACACCTGTACCTTTACAATATTACCTGTACAATATTACCTGTACCAATATTACTACAGGTATACCAAATCAGTCAGCTGGAATTCCTGTTTTAACCTGATTTTAATGAAGGGAGAAAATGATGCCCCGTCCCAATTCTTTTCTCACCACAGCAAATTTCAACATGTTTTTTTTTTAAAGTAGCTTTTTTCTTTTGGAGGGGGGGGGGGGGGTACAGTATTACTCCTTCATACCTAAATAATTTTATTTAAATCAACCTGTCCATATATCATGTAATATGTATTGAACGTTAAATTTGTAATAAACAACAACCAACATGTGATGGCTTCATAAAATGACTCTACCACTAGAAGGGTAACACAGGGGTCACGATTCACAAATCTAATGTTATTTAGCCTTACCACAATAAGGATGACAGGATGGAGGAATGGTTGCACCAGGGTTGTCAGAGAGCGAGAGAGAGAGAGAGAGAGAGAGGGGTGGTGGCTTTTGAACATAATACATTTAGTTTTATTCTGTGGATATCACTTCAGTGGAATCAAGACTTAAAATAATAATATCGTCATTTATAAAGCGAGTTAATATTGATGGATAGTGCATAAATGAGCTTTTCTTTGTTTTCGTAATTGAGATAGCCGTGGATGTGAATGTCATTGATACTGAGGATGTAAAAGTTTTCTGTAATTAAATCTTACAGTAACATAATATAACTACCATATATAGTATTGTATGTGTGAAAATATGCACTTAGCTGGAATCAAGAGAGAAAGAATGGGGTTTAACGTCCACTCAAAACAAACAAGGTCATTTCGGGTCTAACATATGGTTCAAATTTAATTCAATAATTTACTTGCACGTAGGGGTCTTTAATAATGGGAGGAAACTGGAGGCCCCGGAGAAAACCCACGAGGTTGGACAGGCGATCCCACGCCTTGTTATGTACAAGCAGAGAATCACGACCACACCACTTGACTCAATGACAGACCTTCTGATCTAAAGTGGATGGATAAAACCATTTGACCACCCGACCCTCCTACATGTACATGTAATTCAGCATGCATATCAACATAATGAATATTCATGGTATATTCTATTCCAAGAATAGAAGCAGAGAGAGAGAGAGAAATGGGGTTTAACATCCACTCGACACAAACTAGGTCATTTCGGGACTAACACACAGTCTTAATTTTATTTCAATAATTTGCTTGCGCGGAGGGGTCTTTAGCAGTGGGAGGAAACCAGGGCACTAGTATATTCGAGACTTAGCCTCGCTTTCCCATTTTTAAATTAAATTTCTAAATTGTGAACTGTTGTAATCTAGTTAAAATCTTGAGTATCCGATGCCATCGAGAGTTGATTATGGCCTGGATAAGTTAATTATTGTCTAATTAATAGTTTATATAACATTTCAGGCCTATTTAGCTCTTGCATAATGTATGTTTAACGTTTAATATTTACACCTATATATCCCCCACACAACAGTAGTACAAAAACAGACGTTAGGTTGAAAGAGAGGTGGTTTATTCATATTCATAACGTTACAAGTTAAAAGACTCTTTATCCAATCCACAATAAAAACGTGTACATGTACATGTAGATGAATTAGCTAGGTTCAGGTGTTGTTTAGTTTAGTTGTTACTGTTAGAAAAAATAAGTTGACAAGATTCTTAAATCGGCATCTGTCACCAAATATTGATAAAGTCTTTATTTCACAATACGTTTATTCAAAAACTATTAAAATGTATCAATAACGTACAGTAATCAATCTAATAACAACTGAGATCCAATATATGTAGCAACCACCTGTTGGTTTCTCTTCTCTAACAGTAAGCTCTATAAATCTTAAGCCTGTGCCAACAATATTTCTGACTTCATCAGAGGTGTTCAAAATTACTGAACGATCATAATTCTTTAGTTGTAGAATAAGTTAGTGATGTCATTTGAGATTCAAACACAGATGCTTATAGCATCTACAAATATTTGGCTAGCATTTGCTATAATAGTAAGTGATCCCTCTATTTGGACAATTGTCTTTTAGGATCAGCTGCTCAGTGGGTTTATTATTAGTTTCATTAATAAAATAGTCAAAATGTAAAATCGAGTAGGTCTAAAATATTTCATAGGCTTAAGTAACTTTTTGCTCCAGAATTTTGCTTCATCTTACCGTACGAACTACGGAATAACAATAATATCAAATGGGGGGGAAATGTTTGAGAAATTATAGGCAAAGGATTACATAGAGATATATGGACATCCTATTTACAATTTAATCAGATTAAATGGATTTATCAGGTATCATGACACCTGTAAAAAAAACAACAATGTTAATCTCATAATTCTAATATAAAAGTTAAACTAGGCCTACTCATAAAATTTGATGACTCATTTTTGATTAAGAAAAAACTCACCATCCAGCAGACAATTTTGACCATCTATCTGCGTGTGTTGTGTATAGGAATCTTCAATGGTTGGGTCATAATCCTGAACGAATAATTGTTGAAAAAACTGAATAGTCAGTGCCGATTTCCCCACGCCTCCATCGCCGACAACTACCATGTTATAGGTAATTTCGTGGTCGTTCGGAGGTTTTGGCATTTTATTAATTTATCCGTGCTGTTCATACATACGATTAAAATTGTGCGCTGTTGACAGGGTGATTGCCCAATTTTCTGACTGTCCGAGCGATGAGTCGTCTGCTTATAAATGAATCACCCAAACAAAAAAAGTACATGAATAGGTTCTCGCTTCGCTTTCTTGGCTCCTGTTAGGCGACCTTGACATTTAACGGGCACCTGTTAACAAATTATACACATCGTAAATAAACGATTTACAATTTTCAAAAATATTTCAAATAAAATTATGAAAATCACATAAAATTTTATTTTGTTAATAAAGATGGTTTAAGGAGCCATTCTTTGAAATAAATGTGTCAGGATTTATTTTGAAGCTCTGACCACTTGTTTTTCTAAGAATAATTTCGACCGAATAATTTGATATTTCGTTTCGTAAAATTACATTGTAGAATTTTATCTTACCCTTAATAAACACGTGCATCATCTTTCCAGTGTTTACATCATTTGACTACCGGTAGGCCTAGTTGCCAAAAGGAAAAAAGCGAATTTATGTTTATCGTGTTGATTAGGTTTACTATGATTTCTTTTAATATTTTAATATCTAATGCACCTTTATTGTTTCAGCTGAGATCTACATGTAGTAATTCTGCTAGTTCTAGCATCAATTTTTTGGTGATTCTTTACCTCTTAGGCTCTTACTAATCGTTCATCATCAGGTTTCCCCGCCCAAGTAAGTTGTGGAGGTTGGAGGGCCTGACAAGGACAGATGTGTAGTCGTTCGGATGGAACGAAAAACCGGGGTCCGGTGTACACCTTGGCGTGCATGTAAAAGCGACTTATAGTCCAGTCGGTGCACAGACCCCAAGTCATTCAGAATAAGTACTATATTATATTCTGTCACATTTCCATGGGTAAAACTTGTACATCAAACACAATCATGGAAATATTCTGACAAACATTGATTTGTTTTTATTATACTATTTTAGTACAACATATATATAGAACTCAACAAGGAAGGCCTACATCAGTCTTTGTTTTCTATTGGTTAAAAGTTTGTATAAAATTAGACCTGCAACCCTATTAATCAATCTGGTAGTACTCGACTATCTTATGTTTTATAGAAATTCTGGGTTTTATTTTTTATGTTATTTGACTGTATTTCAGGGATTGATTTGCCAGAATGTCAGAATCAGAAGTTATAGAAAAGCCTGAATCGGAAAAAGTCGAAAAACCTGAATCGGAAGAAGTCGATAAACCGGAATCGGAAGAAGTGGAAAAACAACAAGTTTTAAAACCTGGAGTAGCTCACATAAAGCAAGAGTAAGTACTCGTAGCAGTTATAATTATCACAAAAGCAGAACAAATGTTGACTGTTGCACACAAGTTTAATCATTAGGCCTACTCTGTGTTACATCAATACCACAGTTGGGTATGAAACTCCTGTTTTTTAGTCGAACAATACAGATAACAATTTCCTTCTGTATGGTTCTCAGGTTCGCTCCCTTTGTTGACCGATCTGTTCTTCAGGATTTTCTGACATGGTTTCTCCTTGTCAGTGGTACAGGATGGAGACCCTGGCAATCACAGTGTCTAGTTGTTCGGATGGGATGATAACTTGTGTACTCATGGTGTATGCCTCTCTTCATTAACCCAGTGGGTGCAGAAGAGTAGGAGGTTAAACACCCTTTCATTTTTTTATGTATTGTTATTTTACAGTACAAGCTGAAAATATTTCTCAGGAGAAAGCTGATAAGAGTTGTCTCCCTTAGGACAGTGTTAAAACTTGACAATTCTTCTTTTCATCAAATATCTGTACCTGAAGACACTTTAAACTTTTTGTAAAATGCTTATGTAGCACTATATTAGACAAATCAATTATTATAAATAAAAATCTTCTTTAATTATTCCAGATTCTTACTAAAAGATTATAAACCTCAGATTGTAACAGAATTTCTGCCAGATTCTTTAAAAGAAAAACTGCAAGCAAATGAATCCACGGGAGACGCAGAAAATAATGACGAATCGTCAGAACCACCTGTAAAGAAAATAAAATTAAAGGGTCGAAATAAACGCCGACCGTTTGAAAAGAAACCAGATGATGCCGACAAACTGTGTCCATCAATACGAATGGAGAGAGAATGCACGTTTGCTGGGAGATGTCGATTTTCCCATGACATAAAAGCATTCTGTGAGGGAAAACCTGAAGATCTAGGGAAAACTTGTTACATGTTTGAAACATTTGGTAAATGTCCCTATGGTTTAACGTGTCGGTACGGTTCGCAGCACATTAGCGAGGATTATAAAAACGTTGTTAATAAAGAATTGTGGGAGAAGAAATCTAAGGATTTCGAAAGTATGAATTTATTACCCAAGGATCTTCAGAAACTGTTATGGAAGAAAAAGTACGATTTTACTAAAGCCAACAAAATATGTAGTCAAGTTTTGAATCTGTTGGAAAAAAGACGCAGAGACGAAGAAAAGAATCAGAAGTCAAATAAAACAAATACAGAAAATGTTAATTCAGGAGAAAATAGCGATAGAGATGCAGACGGCATGGCTTCCCTTTCATCTGAGACATCAGAAGCAGAAAGTAACAATGAAATCCCTAAAACTACGATTAGTACAGAAGATGCTTCAATGACATCTGGTTGCGTGACAGACGAAGATCTGATTAAATTAAAACCTAAAGAAATAAAATTGGTATGGTTTTATATAACTTAATTAATACTCCATCATGGAAGCTGCAGTGGCTCAATGAGTTAGCGGCGGTTGGATGGTCGAATGTTTTAACCCGTGCACGTTGAATCAGAAGGTCTGTCATTGAATCAAGTGGCGTGGTTTCGATTCCCCGCTTGTACGGTGACAAGGAGTAGGGTCGTCTGTCCAACCTTGTGGGTTTTCTTCGGGTCCTCCGGTTTCCTCCCACTGCTCAAATTGTTGAAATAAAATAGAACTATAATCTTAGTTTCCAAAATGACCTAGTTTGTGTCGAGTGGACGTTAAACCCCATTTCTCTCTCTCTCTTCCTCAACATTCCAGGCCTAAAGAAAGACCTGCAATAGACAGTTTAGCTCTTGTATAATGTATGTTTAATATGATTATTACAATGACATCATTATTAATGTGACGTCATAATGTATGTTTAAGCTATGTGATAAAATGTCTTCAGCATTCTTCAATTTTTGACAAAATCAACACTAAAATACTTTGTATTTACGTGACAAGAACTAGGGTCACCTGTCCAACCATGTGGGTTTTCTCCGGGTCCTCCGGTTTCGTTCCACTGCTAAAGAACCCTATGCTCAAGCGAATTATTGAAATAAAAAAAAACATATGTTGGTCCCAAAGTGTCCTAGTTTGTGTCGAGTGGACGTGAAACCCCATCTCTTTGTATTTACATTATGTTCTGTTTATTTTTTCAGATAGATTTTTCTAATAAATTATACCTAGCACCGTTAACTACCGTAAGTCATCTATTTATCAGACATTTTTCTCTAAAAAAAAAAAACAAAACAAAAAAAACCTGACAAATTTTAAATATATACATGTACTGGTTTAATGGAAACTTTTTAGCTGAGGGTAAGTATTAGGCAATCAACCTCACTAGACAAATACTGGATTCTCTGGAGAAAAAACACAGGGCACCCACAGGACAAAAATGGAAGGGTTTTACTAACTACATGTAGCATGCTATCCGCTTGAGAGACTAAGGAGTGCTTTTTTGGTTGGAGGGGTGGATGGCCGAATGGTTAGTGCAGTATCATAAGGTCTGTCATTGAGTCAACTGGCATGGTTTTCGATTCCCCGATTGTATGTGACAAGGAGTAGGGCCGCCTGTCCAAACTCATAGGTTTTCTCCGGGTCCTCTGGTTTCCTCCCACTGCTAAAGACCCTACGCACAAGCGATTTATTGAAATGAAATTGAACATGTTAGTCCCGAAATGACCTGGTTTGTGTTGAGTGGCGGTTAAACCCTCTCTCTCTCTCTCTCTCTCTCTCTCTCTCTCTCTATCTCTCGCTTCTTATGTTTTGATTTAGTGGCTAACCATTTAGAACATTGAGAGACTTATACCTTTAGTAGAGTTTGTGATTAAACAGTGAAAAAAGATGTTGGTCGAGGATAATCCACAAATTCACTTTGTCTTAGATATTAATGGTAAATAACAAATACAAACTGAAAATGGATTCTCTCTCAGTTAATTAAGATGGGGTACTTAAAAATTTCCTTCCAATTGGAATGTTTTGAGAGTAATTTGAAGCAAACTATTTATAGATAAATTAGTTTTAATGTGTTTTTAGTCCAACTCCCCCAGTTTGTACACGGGACGCCATCTTTAACTACATGTATTTGAAATATATTTATACCAGGTTGGTAATTTACCTTTTCGGAGAATATGTAAGGAATATGGTGCAGATATTACGTGTGGTGAGATGGCGCTGTCAACTAATTTACTTCAAGGACAGCAGTCGGAATGGGCATTATTAAAACGACATCCATCAGAAGATTTATTTGGTGTACAGGTAAAAATATTTCTCCATTTAAGTTAGGGGGGGGGGGGGGTGAGTGGTCTAATTAATGCCAAGCTTATATATGTGACAAGGAGTATGGTTGCCTGGCCCACCTCATGGGTTTTCCCCAGCCATCCCCCAGTTACTTCCTAAAGCTAAGGAACCCTAGGCACAAGCTAATAATTAAAACAAAATTGAAATTAAGTACCCACCCAACCCTTGTTTTGTGTCGAGTGGTCGTTAAACCCCATCTCTGTCTCACTCATTGTCAGTTAAATATATCAGTAGACCTCAACAAGAGTATTGTACAGAACCCCTTCAGTCAGACATAAAAGGGAATCGCTGTAGCACATGTGGAATATCCGTGGACCTCAACAGCATTGTGATAAGTCAGGAGATATTAAACCACAGTATTCTTTTGATTACCTACATGTATAATATACTTTGATATATATTTTTAGATTTGTGGAGGTTTTCCTGATACTATGACTAGATGTGGTCAACTTCTACAAGAGACTATTAACGTAGATTTTATAGATATAAACTGTGGATGTCCTATAGATATGATATATAAAAAGGTAATACCCCCGGTATATATACATATATAAATATATATGAAGTCTTTTGTTGGGCATCTTTTTAATATCATTGAATGATGATAAGAAGCCGGACATATACTTAGCCATGGACTAGCTAATACCACCGCCCTACTTAAATTATTTTATTGCACTTTTCTCTGAACTTTTTATTAGATTCTGTTTGTCAACTTGAAATATATCGCGCGAGTTATTTCCCTTTACTATGGCCATGATTCATTATTCAAACTGGTTAATCAAGACAAAAGCGTCATAGGTGTCACTTCTCAACAAAATGGTTGCAGACGAAAGCGTGACTATTCCCATGAAAAGATTCTGCCTCAATGCGTTCAAGCGTCGTTATCGGTATGGATTTGTGTCCCCACAAGTAAAGAAGACGAATGTTTCCACCTGGAAAAGGATCAAGCTGTCAAATTAGCCCATCGAATTTGTTTTTTTAAAAAACAAAAAACATTCTTCTTGCTTGTCGGTCAGGTTTGGTGAAATAAAGATATTTTAAGGTCAGCCTAATTGATATATTTATATATTTATATTGTAGGGTGAAGGTTGCGCGTTGATGGCAAGAAGTGGTAAATTTGAACAAGTAGTACGAAGTATGATATCAGTGTTAGATATTCCTCTCACCGTTAAAATGAGGACAGGAGTTTTCTCTAGTAAAAGTATCGCACATAATCTCACACCCAAACTTAGAAACTGGGGTGTTTCTATGGTAACTGTAAGTATATTTTGATAATTCGGTAATTCTGCCAGTAACAACATTCATCAGCTACTAATAACTTTTATTTTAATATTATCCCATATCCTAGTGTAGAGAAGGCAAACAAAACAAAATCTGAACTATAAAAAAAGAAATGATTCAAGATGGGCCTGATATTATTTTACGTGTGTACGCGTCGCCAACATATACAAGGAACTGATGTTTTTGTATGGAGTTGAAGTGAATAAGATGTTAATTTTTTATGAAAATTATAAAATTAATATAGAAATGTTTTTGTATGGATTTGATATTAATAAGATGTTTGTTGTGTGGATTTGATATAAATAAGATGTTTTTTGTATGGATTTGATATAAATAAGATGTTTTTTGTGTGGATTTGATATAAATAATATGTTTTTGTGTGGATTTAATATAAATAAGATGTTTTTTATGTGGATTTGATATAAATAAGATTTTTTTGTGTATATTTAATATTTATAAGATGTTTTTTGTGTGAATTTAATTGTAATAAAGATGTATTTTATTTTTACATCGACAGGTACATGGTAGATCCAGAGAACAGAGATATACACGTCTGGCAGATTGGGACTACATACAAAGATGTTGTCAGAGTGGAAAACCTATGCCCTTCTTTGGTATGTTATTGAAGTATAGATAAGGGGGTCGGGGGTTCGCACAAGATGCAGATTATGCTTACTTTCTTTGAAACATCCGATACTTGCGTGGATGTTAAACCCCATCTCTGTATCTTCTGCATGATGATAATACTAATTTTTCCTATCATTTTGTGTTTGAGACTATAGTGTGTGCAGTAAAGCTATGGGCTACAAAACACCTATGCCAACTACTAAAGATGTGTTATTTTCAGCAACACATACACATGCAGTTTCCTACAGTTTGGACGTGAATGAACGAAATGGGGTTAAACGTTGTACTTTTCTACTCCACTCAGCAACTTGAACTCTAGTCAGACTTAGGTCGCATCAATTATTCGACTTGCAACTCAACTTGAAATATTCATTTTGACTCAAGTCTTGACTGAATTGCTGACTGAATCAACCTCTCAATTTTTAATTGAAATCAATAAATGGCAATCATATTTCAATCCGTTTAAATCTGCACCATCCAATGGTCTAGACGGTCTATATAAATAAATGTGTAAATAATAGTTTGTATAGCAATTGAAGCAAAAATAAAAACCTGTAATCCGCAGATTTAGCTCTTACATAATGCATCTTTAATGAAATGTATTCTATATTAAATCCAGGTAATTGAGTTAATAAAATGTATTCTATATTAAATCCAGGTAATTGAGTTAATAAAATGTATTCTATATTAAATCCAGGTAATTGAGTTAATGAAATGTATTCTATATTAAATCCAGGTAATAGAGTTAATAAAATGTATTCTATATTAAATCCAGGTAATAGAGGTGTGTTAATGAAATGTATTCTATATTAAACACAGGTAATGGAGATGTTTTATCGTATGAAGATTACAATAATTACAGGGAAAAATCAGGTGTTGATGGAATCATGATTGCCAGGTATCTCCTCTTTTAATCTGACATTATCATCAAATTTATTACTGTGTCCGCTTTCCATAAATATATTCCAAATTATATCCTATTATTAACAACATTATTAATTAAACCACGGATATTTATTATAGGGAAGCTCTAATTAAACTAAGGATATTTATATTTATTACAGAGGAGCTCTAATTAAACCACAGATATTTATAGGGGAGCTTTAATTAAACCATGGATATTTATAGAGGTTCTCTAATTAAACTAGGGATGATTATATTTATTAATAAACCATGGATATTTATATTATTTATAGGGGAGCTCTAATTAAACCATGGATATTTATATTTATTTATAGATGAGCTCTAATTAAACCATGAATATTAATGTATATTTACAGAGGAGCTCTAATTAAACCATGGATATTTAAAGAGATTAAAGACCAACAACATTGGGATATATCAGCCAATGAGAGATTTGATATGTTAAAAAGTTTCACTAATTATGGTTTAACACACTGGGGATCAGATCAACAAGGCGTGGATAATGTCCGAAGGTTTCTATTGGAATGGCTGTCATTCTTAAACAGGTAAGTAAATATGTTTAGGTATGTACTTACCTTTAAACAGATTTTAACAAGTTGTGTAAATATCTTTGAGTGAGTAAGACGTTGGCTTGCCCACGGAGAAATTGAATTCCAACTGTCAAGGATTCTTTTATGTTCTGTATCATTGATAAGGGTACTGAACCATACCGAAAACCCCCAAAAGGATTGATCATGGCACCTCCAGGTTAGCGAACCAGCATCTTCATCACTGAACCAATCAACACTGTTAAATATAGTTGCAATGGTACTTTCAATCAAGACCACTTTGTGAAAACTTCAACATCCAAAACTGCGTTGAGAATAAAGTAATTTGACTGAAATTTTCAACAATATATTAATTTTTCAGTGTCTATACTTTACCTATTATAGCGACAATATCCAACTCTTTTATCTAAATCTCTGACATAATGCACGTTTAATTAGGATACAAAGAATCTTTTTGGTCGTCTATTACTTTAACTTGTTATGTGTTTTAGATATATACCAGTCGGTGTTTTAGAACGTCTGCCACAAAGAATAAATGAACGACCACCACATTATCAAGGTCGTAACGATTTAGAGACGTTGTTATCCAGTGCTAATTGTGGTGATTGGGTAAAGATTAGGTAAGCTAGAATTTTGTGGAAACATTGCTTCTATTATCTTATATATTACTAAGGCCATAGAAAAAATAATGTTCTGGTTTTCAGACAAAAATCTGATGTGGGGGGAGGGTTTTATATGCCCTAATATAAAATTATGTATTGAATCATTGCTTCTATTAAGTAGCTCCTGAGATATCAGCCACATGGGGCGTTTGTTGGGTTCTTTGATTAAAGAATTTAGAATGATTTGTATTCAAATTGTTAGTAAAATTGTACTGGTATGGCATTTGACAAGTAGTGAATAGACCACACCAGGGTTCTTGTTTCAGTAATATTGACCAGTCTAGACTGACTGGACGTGAAAATGACTGGCTGGTGAACCAACCTGTCAGTCAATTTAAATTTATAGTATGAGGTTATCAGGGCTATCGTTTCACTTATATGTACCTGTCCTTGACTGATTGACAGTGAAAATGACCAGCTAGTGAACTTACCTGTCAGTCAATGTACATGTCATAAAACGAAATTATCCTTAACACCTGACACAATTATATGGAATACAAGTTACATGAAATATTTATTTCTGGTGGCGTTTCCACGAGGGTGCTCTCGTCTTTATCAATTAACCTTATAACAATAAATAAACTTCTCTCTATAAACATGTATAACACAATTTGGATAATGCTAACAATTGTCTTATTCTTTTAAAAAAATACCATACTAATCTGAAAATACAACAAAATTTGATTTGACTGAAGAATTTGTGAAATGAAAGCTCTGGCCCTAACATGCTTGTTCTTTTTTTTATAGAGATTTGAAATATTTGGTAATTTTTGTCTGTTTCAGTGAGATGTTATTAGGACCTGTCAAATCAGATTTTAAATTCTTACCAAAACACAAAGCAAACGCATACCAGTAGTCAGTTGTTTCACGGTTCAGCGATCTCTAGGGTACCAGTAGAAGGCTTTTTCACGTTTCAGCAATGTCTTATGTATCAGTAGAAGGTTGTTTCACGGTTCAGCGATCTCTAGTAGCGGTACCAGTAAGAGGTTGTTTCACGGTCCAGAGATCTCTTGTACCTTTCACAGTTCAGTGGTCTGCAGTACCAATAATTGAAAAATGTGTCAAAAGACTTTAAGGCATCCGGTGTAGATAACTAGATACTGAAGAATAACGAGGACCTATATGATTAATAGTCACAGCATGAATGTTTTTATGGTCTAAAGTAATTAAACGTGTTCAGGGTGACAAATCTCAAAGACTCCCAATCAGGCTGATGAAGACGGACATATATGCCATGCAGTGTGCTACATAAGGGAAGTATTGTTCAGACAGCATTCTCCTATTTTGAATTATAGCCGTCACAGGTTCTTTTACGAGGGTGCCAACGTGTACATGTGACCTCGGTTTATCATACTAGTCAAAGAACGAAACACTGTTCCCTACTAGGCCCTCACCGGAAAACCACACTGGAAAATCCTGAGGAACTGTCTCGGCCAACTCCGGGAAAGATACTTGGATTTCCAGGTTAGTAAGACGGTGCCTTAATTATTGAGCTGCTGTTACTCCACAATGATATGACTTCAGTAGTTTATACAATCTGGTTAAAACACAGATCCTATTTCGTTTTGTTTTTATAGTTCAAAATTTTGTTTTACTTACTACAGTAGGATCTGGTAGAGTTGTTATCATTGACATGTTCTGAATGATGTGAGGGAATAGTCAATGAAACGGTCTGTTATGGCAAGCTTTAGGCGTGTTTTGCACGGAACTGTGGGTAATCCACTAGTAACATCAATGCTGATTGGTTAATCAAATGTCTGACGTCATAGGGTCAAAAGCCGCTCGTATGACATCTGAAGCGACCTATCGCTACAACTGGTCGGATCTTCATGTAGTGTAGGCCATCGAAAGTATAAAAAAACGAACCGAAATATAGATCTGTATTTGAATCAGACTGACTCTGTGACACACAAAAGGAAATTTTGTGAGTTGCCTAAATCTCATTTTCATAAAATACCTTTTGTTTTAGAGCTTTTCAGGTCAACAAAGATCAATTAGCTCAAATTTTTACATTGTTTCTCAATGTCTGTTCTATTTTCTTTGAAAAAATAAATCATGGTAAAATGTTTTTGTAAAATAACCAAAAGGATATTTTGTAGCATAAAATGTAAATATGGAATTTGTTATTAAAATATATTTTAATCACAGATCTGAAAGGTTTTTGTTTTCACAAAATTCGTTGATGCTAGGACTTCTAACATCAACTGTTAAATGTGCTAATTAGGCTACTCAGATTATGAACCACATGGCCGATTCTCACTAAGGTATGACTGTTGATGTAGCCGACAAGCAAATTGATTGTCTTCTTAATTAACATGTAATAATTAACCTGATGTAATTTAGCCGATAGTAGCTTGATTTATGATACCATAGTGGCCAGTTCATTGTTTTACCAATAGGCTAGTTTAAACATCAATCGGCTAAAGCCGACAAAAAGCAGCCGATTAAGAAGACTGCTTAGGAGGCTTAGTGAATGGGACACATGAAGTGGTTTGGGTCATGAGTTATATTATATCGTGGCTCGGATTTGCTACAAAACGACTTCAGTATTTTCCACACACCTCACAATTTCATGAGGCAGGTACGTGTTGGCTGAGATCTTTCATCAGGATTTCCCGGTCTGGTTCCTTCGTGTCAGGGGGGCTGGACGGAGGGCCTGGCAAGTTGATTGAGTGAGACAAAAAACCTATGTCCATTGTACACATTGGCATGCACGTAAAAGATCCCTTGGCAGTTGGAATTCGTGATAAGAATAGGCCATAGTGCCGCTGTCCGGGCAAAATGTCCCTCATAGCACACTGTATGGCGCATGCCTGTCTTCATTAGCCCAAGCAGATCAGTAGGACGTTAAACACCATTTCATTTCACTATTATCGTGCGAAATCAACTGTCACCACGCCCCTGTGCGTTGACCTGATATGTGCCACTGTTAGTTATGTGACCTGATTCCCCCACCCCATCCTGTTACTATGGTGACTTGTGTCCAGGTTGAAGATAACAGTAAAAATCAGCTGTTACCACGCCATTGTGCATTAATCGTGTGTCGGCCCACGTGAGTTTTGTTACCTGCTTCCTTATCTCTCCCAAGTACTATCCTGTTGTCAGTGACCCATGGTTACTGATGTCCAGGTTGAAGATAAACAGCTGTCCAACCTCATTCGGTTTCTCTGTACCCTCCTGTTTCCTGCCACTGCTAAAGACCCCTACGCGCAAGCGAATTATTAAAATAAAATAGAACGATATATTAGTCCCGAAATGACCTAATTGGTGTCGAGTTGACGTTAAACCCCATTTCTCTCTCTCTCCCTCCTCTCTCTTTAAAGATAAACAGTAAAAATGAAATCATGGAAACCTAACAGCTGGTTATAAGATAAAACCTTAAATAGAAATCTTTACAATATAGACAAACATGGTGGCTGTTCATAATTTACTCTGTCTTGTACTTGGTGAGTAGTAATATGAAAAGTTTCTAACTCTTCCCCTTGCGTAAATATAGAGATTCACGAGGAGTCTGATATTTTGGGCTGTAAGCTACTAGAGTTAACCCCAGTCTCTTACAAACCCCCTGTCCACAACTATAATCGACCTTCACATGTTAAATTACATGGGCACGGGGCACTTGACTGGTCATTTTGGAAATAAGGAAATATGGCATATTTTTATTAAATGCATTCGTGTATAGGTCTTAGAAAAAGTTGAATAAAGCAGAGATCCCAAACAAAATGCTGCTTTAATTACATACATGTAGTAACCTGAGGTGAACTTATGACTTACCTGGACCGCAGTACCCAGACTAAACCCATTAGCAAGCGAACCTTTCTCCTTGTCACGTACAAGGTGGGAATTAAACCACGTCACTGGACTCAGTGATAGATTGTAGACCACTAGACGCTGGCTCGCTAGCCTGGAGGTCGGGTGTTCGATCCCTGCATTGACCGGGAAAGTTCATCCAGATTTTCCGGCGTGGTACCCCCTTGTGAGTGATGCAAGACGGGGGCCTGGCAAGGACAGCTGTCGTTCGGATGGGACGAAAAACCGAGGTCACGTGTACACATTGGCATGAACGTAAAAGATCCCTTGGCAGTTGGAATTCGATATAAGAGTAGACGGCTGTCCGGGCAAAATTTCCCTCATAGCACCCTGTATGGCGTACGACCGTCTTCATTAGCCCAGTTAGGAGCAGAACAGTAGGTCGTTAAACCCCATTTCATTTCATTTCGTAAGTAGAGTTTGTATTAGTAAGTTAAATAAAATAAAAATGGTAATATCTAAAGTCGACCCATCTCTTGCTTCAAAAGGGCCTTTTAACCCCAAAGAGTGTGGGGCATGCTCCCGTAATTGAAATAAGAATAGGTCAAAGTATCGCTGTTTGGGCAAAAAAGGTGATAAAACACACCAAGAAAAACTGCCGATGCATCTTCTACTTTTAATGATTTCTTTTAATTTTAACTTTGTGAGTTGCCATTTTTAATATCATGATTTTAGTTCATCAATTTCAATCAGTAAGATTAATGTTCCAGATGTTGATGGTTTATTACAGTACTGTATATTGATGGTTTAATGATTGGTTTAGTTGTATTACAGTATTGTATATTGATGTTGTTGTATTACAGTACTGTATATTGATGTTGTTGTTTTACAGTACTGTATATTGATGTTGTTGTATTACAGTACTGTATATTGATGTTGGTGAGAGTTTATTAATAAATGATTTAAATGTCGATGCTGTTAATCTACAGAAAGCTATCAATGTTTTAAGTCGAGTACCTCTCGTAGATGGGTGAGTTACATTTATATCATTTTAGCCCATGTGAGACAGGTCAGCGGTCGGACTGTAGCCACCCCCAAAACATTACCTGCCAATGTGTATGTGTGTTGTTTCCGTGTACCAAATAATTTTAAATTAATTGTTTTTAAAATCAGAACACATGGGGGTGGGTTAAATAAAGAAATGAATACATAAATTTCTTCCAAGACCTGACGATAAATTCTACTTTTATCTCAAAAGTGATAAAGATCTATATATGTGGTCATAATTTTTACTATATTTGTAACACTTTGGTCCTTAAGACAATATTGGTTCTTTGAAAAATTGTTGCTTCACTCTGTCTATAGAGTCAAATCACACGTACTTCATGAACGTAAATATATATTTATAAATAAAAAAAAAACAATGATATTTTGGTAAAATCCTAACCATTGTCAAAATATCCATCAAATTCTGTCTGTTTATTGACCTACGGTTGATTGACCAAATAAGGCAATGTTTCCTCCTCTGGTCTTGTGAAATCGAGAGGTTTATTCCACATTTGGGATGGAAATTAACGTCAAGGTTAATTTAAGATGTGCAGAAATTAGGGGGTTATAAAAGAGGGTGTTGAGCGAGGCTGGGCAGAGTTCACCTAGATATTCCAAGCAGCTATTATTATTGAGAACAAGGAACCTTCAAAGCCATTACAGCTTAACAATAAAGTTGTAAGAACCATTTATTCTGATCACGAAGAAAACAAACACAGCGAGGAAAGAAGTCCGATAGTACTACATTTTATGTTGTTTATTCAAAATGATTTCTGTATGTTTCAAGTCATAATCATTTCTAGATGTTGTTTTCAGTCACAATGATTTTGCGTGGCATGTACAGATTGTTTATGACGGCGATATAACCAAGTTTGATATGACGAAAGATATGAGAAATTACTTCCCTTGGGACCCCAAGCACCCCAGCCAGACCGATGTGCCTAGAATAAAACAAGGGCATTTAGGGGCACAGGTCAGTGAATCATTTCTCAGCTGTACTGGATAATAGAAACAACGTAAATCACAATACATATTCACGTCACAAATTTAACAAAAAATCCTTGTGCCTTGTTTGCTTGTGCCCTTCTTCATTTGGTTTCTTGCCGAATTCGTGGATCTGCGATTGAGGTTTTTGATGTGCAGTGGCCCTAGAACCAAAGATGTTGACTCCTGTCCCACAATCAAAAGACTGTTTACTTTGCTTGAAAGCCCAGACGGAACCTGATGTTACCGCGTCTCGTAATAATTGAACACATTAAACTTTGACTCTAGATGACGCACTCGCGAGCAGCCTATTGACCACGTTCTTAACATATAATATATATTAGAAATGTAGTCACCATGTTCTAATCATGTACTACGTGGTCACCATGGTCACCATGTTCTAATCATATACTATGTGGTTACCATGGTCACCATGTTCACCATGTTCTAAGCATGTACCACGTGGTCACCATGGCCACATGTTCTAAGCATGTACTATGGATCACCATGTTCTAAGCATGTACTAAGGGTCACCATGTTCTAAGCATGTACTATGGGTCACCATGTTCTAAGCATGTACCACGTGGTCACCATGGCCACATGTTCTAAGCATGTACTATGGATCACCATGTTCTAAGCATGTACTATGGGTCACCATGTTCTAATCATATACTATGTGGTCACCATGACCACCATGTTCTAATTATAGACTATATATTATAGATGTGGTCCGCCTATTCACCATGTTTCAACCAATATAAAGATGCTGTGGAGAAAGGATTAGATCAAATTGATTTAATAAAAAGATTTATTAATAAATATCCCAACAACTTTCAATATACAACAACCGCAGATGGTAAGTTATTTTATACAACATTCGTGATGTGGTATGTATAAAAAACACATCGATCAATCATATGTATTTAGCACTGATTACAATGTAATATCGATATATTCATAGCCTACATTAATGATTACAAAAATGCTTAATAAGCAGTTTGAATTGGGATCAACATTGCTCATCCGGCCTGGGCCTATAAACAGATTTATATGTGCCTGTTCGATCAAAAATATCAAAACTCTTAACTTGAAAACGTCCAGATTCCTTTCAGACATGGGTGATAACCACAGTAGATGTCTATAGAATAGAATTAAGCATGTTTCTGTTTATTTTAAACATGTATTTCAGGTAATAGTTCAACAATTGTTTATTGATAGTTTTAATACACCGTTAAGCATGTCAGATACTAGTCGGGTAACGGAAGGCGGGTAGGGTGGTGGTGGTGGGGGGATAATATGGGCATGAGGGTAATATGGGCCGTAGCCCTGACAAGCTTGTCATGTGACGTTTCTTTAAAATGTTATTTGACATCCTCTAATCATGTGCTACACATCATAAAAAGTTCACAGATACATTCCACAAAAAAGTTCAGTATTTTAAAAAAATTTCTGCGTTAAAAGATTTTTGGGGGTTGACTTATCTAATCCTTGTCACTTGGGGGTAATATGGGACATGCAAATTAGGGTGAAATGATGAACCATGGTTCATATTACATCCTAACCACTAAAAATAAATTATCCACAGAATCTTAACAAATTTCCTGTGAATTATAACGACTATCTAAAATTAAAATAAATACAACAGTTCTATGGAAAACCATTTTATTACTGTATATAATCAGAGTTACATTTCAATGATGATTCTCTTGTTTTCAAACCTAATGTGTTTAAATATACAGTACATCTAAAATCATTATTCCCAAGCTTTTAATAATATATATTTAAGGAATAATGGAAGCTTTTAGTAGAGGTAAGGTGTCCTCTATGATAGGAATGGAAGGTGGTCATATGATTGGTAGTAGTCTAGCCGTATTGCGCATGTTTTATGAACTGGGTGTACGATATTTAACATTAACACATAGTTGTAACACAGCATGGTAGGTTATTTTCCCGTTGTTAATAATACTAATACGCCATACAGTGTGTAATAAGGGAAATCACAGAGTCAATATTTTTTTGATTCACAAAAGCTTGATGACCGATTGGGCATATATCAGGTCGGACTTTCGCCAACCAGCGTAGTACGTGTCCGGTATATACGCGCGAAACAACACCCATGACATGGACTCTACGGGGAATATTTTGGCGTTATGGCATCGTCTTATATCGATTTTCAACTTGAAAGGATCTTTAACGTGCAGCCATCAGGAACCAATTTTTTCAAACCACCCGAATGACTAGAATGACCACAGAACTCTTTCTTGTTACCTGACCTCGATACTGTATCTTACATAACCCTCTTGTTATCTAACTACACACTGGTCAGCAGTGAATATTCGCTGGGCCGATGGATTTCGCAAAATGTGTGTGAAACAGATTGATCTAACTAGAGTAGCCTGGCCAACACCGGGAATAAACCCAGGGTCTTCTGGTATTTAATCAGCCAGCATTATACTCACCAAGTCAGTAGCGGACATAAAATCGTGACTCATAAACTGAAAAATAGAGTTTATAGGCCATTTTCAGTTATTTAGTTACCATTCAAAACTGAATATAGGCATTGGGATACAGAATTACCGACAATCAAATACATGTGAGTAGCTGATAGGCTACAAGTGAGAGAATAAAGGGAATATATACAAGTGCGAGAATAAAATTAAAGGGACATATACATATGAAAATAAAACAAAATCTGAGTTTGTATTTATTTTTTAAGGGCAGATAACTATAAAGCTACTCGGTATAATCAACCAGTCTTTAATGGACTTTCACCATTTGGAGAGGTAAGAAAACTGAAATCTCCCTGATCCCTGGATGAAAACTTTTGAGAACTAATTGTGCTACATTCGACTATTGAAATCAGTCATGCTTAAATGGTGCCTATTTAGATTTGTCATGCTTTAATGGTGCCTATTGAGATCTGTCATGCTTTTAATGGTGCCTATTGAGATCTGGCATGCTTTTAATGGTGCCTATTGAGATCTGTCACGCTATATTGATGATTACTGAGATATGTCATGCTATAATGATGACTATTAAGATTGTCCATGCATCACCGGTGATTATTGAGATCTGCCATGCTTGAATGGTAAATATTGAGATCGTTCATGCTGCATGGTAGATATTGAGATCGATCATGCTAGCTAGGTTCGGTGGATATTTAGATCGGCCATGCTTGCGTGATTGAGCTCCGTCATGTTTGAATGTTGATTTTTCAAGATCAACTTTTCTTATTGGGATCGGTCATGCTTGAATGTTGATTATTGGCATCGGCTATGCATCACTGATGATTATTTTTAACAAATAATTTGTCAAATTTCCCTCTAGCCCGATTGGTACAGAATGATAGGACCCTAAACCCCATTTCATTTCATTTATTAGTCCTGTTAACAAAGTGTTTTCCATCCCCAATTATTGAATTTCTATCTTATTTTATAGAGAGTTGTTGGTGAAATGAATCGTCTGGGTATGATGATAGATTTAGCTCACGTTGCCTTGGATACAATGAATGATGCTATGGATATATCTAAAGCACCTGTAATATTCAGTCATACGTCATCCTTCGCTCTCTGTCCACATCGTAGAAATGCTCCTGATGAAATATTAGAACGTCTGGTAATATGATTAATAAAACACATTTTCTATGGGAAATTTTCATTACCGTGCTTGATAACGATAATATTAAAATATTTCAAATTTCTTGTAACGTACAGGGAGACAATTGAACACAAATTACATATCCTTAGGATACAGACCACCATTCAATTTCAACTACGAGAGAGAGAGAGGGAGAGAGAGAGAGAGAGAGAGATGTCCACGGATGTGTTTAACGGAGACGAGCATACGCCATACAGTGTGGAGCGAGGTAAATTTTGCCCGGACAGCGGCACTACGGCCTAATCTTATATCGAATTCCAACTTTCAAGGGCTCTATTACGTGCGTGCCAATGTGTACATGAGACCTCTGTTTTTCGTCCCACCCGAATGACTAGACGCTGTCCTATGTCCCATGCCTGCATTCAAACAAAGATTCTCTTTCTCATAGTAAATACATGTAATAGGAGATAGTTAATTCTTTTTTTTTTCGGTCTGTTAATGGTGGTATAACCATGGTAAGTGGTATAATAATCGTTAATTCTGTTTGTTTCAGCCTGTTAATGGTGGTATTATAATGGTTAATTTATATCCTAATTTTATCAACTGTACATTAGATACTGTATATGGAGATGATAACAGAACAGCTTCTATATCCCAAGTAGCAGGTACTTGTACATATAATACGATATTCATCACAGATTAGGGGGTTTGGTGGCTGTTAGACAATAAGGTCTGTTGTTGAGTCAGGGGGCGTGGTTTCGATTCCCTGCTTGTACATGACAAAGAGTAGGGTCGCCTGTCTAATCTCGTCGGTTTTCTCTAGGTCCCCCGGTTTTCTCAAAACAGCTAACGAACCCTACGTATTGGAATAAAATTGAACCATATTCTCGTCCCGAAATGACATATTTTATGTCAAGTGGATGTTAAACCCCATTTCTCTATCTCTCTCATCATCGATTGCTCAACTCATTATAGTTAAAACCACTTATCGTAAATTGAGAGATTTTTTAATCCTCTGTAAACTATAATATTGTAAAAGTTAACCCTATAAAGAATATCGATCTAAAATCGATTTAGTTCCTTTTAGTATTTACAAAGATATGACGACTTGGACATTTTTCATCATTCAGCATCCCCTGTTAGTGGTGGGTAAAATATTTTGGTGTGCCCCTTTTTAATCTGATTACATCCAAGCCAAGACGACCTTTGATTATCTACTTTTGTTTTAATTTATTAAAGATACATTATGTAATATTTAGATAAAGAGCTGGCTATTCTTGCTATAATAGTTATATTTAGATAACGAGCTAGTCATTCTTGCTATATTAGTTCGAAATAGATAATGTAAAATGAATAATTTGAAAATTTCATTCTATATACTATTCAAAAAAAGTAGGGGATATTTGATTTTTAAGTGTTATTAAAGTCACCTAATGAAACTGACGAAGAAACAAATGACAAAATGAAATGAAGTTCACATTCATCGATTTATTCCAAATGATCGTTAGACTAAGTAAGGCACAGACTGACCATTATAAGGGTAAAATGATACCCGGGGTCAAACAGCAAAGTTACCACAGCATCACAACCAAGTCAGTAACGGGTAAATCCTCCTCTGTTTGCCAAACAAGCATTGATCCGACGTGGCATACTCCTAATGAGACGTCTAAGGTCATTTTGGTCCAGATTGTCACATTCTTGTTGCAACGCAGCAGCAAGTTCTTGGACATTGGCAGGACGTTGTTGACGTTGACGTAACCTCTGTCAAAGCATGTCCCAGACATGCTCGATGGGGGAGAGGTCGGGACTCAGTGCTGGCCAAGGTAATGTGGTGATGTTCTGTTGTTGGAGGTAACCTGTAACGATCCTGGCCCTGTGACATCTTGCGTTGTCATCCTGGAAGATGAAACGGCGGCCATGACGTCGTGCGAACGGCACAACATGGGCTGCCAAGATGTTGTCCAGGTAGTACTGGCCTGTAACACGCCCTGCAACAACATGTAAAGCCGTTCTTCCAGCAACAGTGATGCCTCCCCACACCATAACAGAACCACCCCCAAATCGATCATGTCTGATGACGTTAACGTCTTGGAAGCGCTCGTTTCGACGACGCCACACCCTCCTACGTCTGTCCAAAAAATCAACAGTGAACCTTGACTCATCTGAAAACATCACATTGCTCCAGCGTCGATTATCCCAGTGTTGACGATCCCTACACCAACGACGTCTTGCCTGAATGTGATGATCTCTCAAACAAGGGATCACGCGAGGACGTCGGGCGCGAAGGTGACCCCTATGCAGTCGATTCCGAATCGTCTGGCCACTCACTCTCACACCAGTGTCTGTTTGAAGACGAGCGCTGATCTGATTTGCTGTGATGACACGATTTCTCAAGGCCAAGGTACGGATAAATCGATCCTGGGCTTGAGTTGTCGCCCTTGGTCGACCTGAGCGTGGTCTGTCCTGTACAGATTGTGTATCACGGTATCTGGACCATAGCCTGCTTATGACAGACTGAGAAACATTCATCGTCCGCGCCACAACCGCCTGTGTTGTGCCGATCTGTAGCATGCCAAGGGCACGTAACCTTTCATTTTGGGTAAGCCGACGCATATCAAAATTTGTTTTCTGGTCACTAAAACAATTAAACTGATGTTTCCACCCTGGAATTCAATGCCACAATGACTGTAACATTCAAAGTCAGAGTCGTGCAAATCTTGGGTTGGCCCCCATGATGATCCCAAGCATCACCTGCATTCCATGCGGTAGCTATTGGTGCGTTTGGGCGTCACATGTAACTGGAAATGTTTCTTCGTAGTCATTTGCATATTTTAGTATTATGCCCCCAAAATCAAATATCCCCTACTTTTTTTGAATAGTATAATTATTATATTGCGAGCAAAGATATTAGCTTTTGAAGGTTTGACAAGACGTGTGCAATAATTTCAACCACCGTACTGGTTGTTCGAAGCTAAGTCGGAGACATCCGACGCCATGGAGAGTTGGTTATGGCCTGGATGGGTTAATTAATGTCTAATTATTAATTTAGATGACATTTCAGGCCTAAAGAAAGACGTGCAATTGGCAGATTTAGCTCTTGCATAATGTATGTTTAACTAAATGTTCAATAATCAATCTAAGTCATGAAAAATTATATTTTTACCAAATAATATAAATGATGACCGGCAGTTTTAAAGTCATATAGGATCAAATGGATAAAAATGATACCAAAATAATCAATGCCTTTCAAATATTGTTATTCTAAATCATTCAAATATTCAAACACAAGCAATTAAAAATCCTTATTTTGAGACTTTAGGTATGTTAACAATAGAATCAGCAAGTTATTAGAGGGATCTAATATCAGCTATGCCTGTTCCCTGGTCCCTATTCAGATACAAATCTGAATAAATATTGTTTAAAAAAAGCAGACTATTTTGACTCTTTGGAGGCAGATCACCATTAAATTTCACCATCTCGGTATTTCACCATCTCGGCTTCCACAAATTATAGTTCGTCTATTTATAGCAATTCTCTCTCTTTCTCTTTTCTCGCCTTTTGCATGCCCATTTTTGTTGATGTTTCGAAATAGAATGGACATAGAGGGTCTTAATTAACATTTTCTGCCAGGTTTTGGAAAATATTTATGATTTAGAGGCGGAAGGATAACCGAGTTATCAGGTTGGTTACGATGATATGTACGGCGAATAGTTACATGTTTTTAGTATTCTTCTTCAAGTTTGTGTATCTCAAAATTTTGGTGGTCAACCTCATACAAGTTTTGGTCCAAAGACATGACCATTTGTTTCTCTGTCTGTAGTGAAAAGCAGTCAGCCCAAAGAAAATTTGGGGAAACGTTGGAGCCGGGCAAAGAGGCCAGAATTAACATTGAAGTCAATGGGGAAATTAATGGTGGTCTGCCTCCCTTTGTGCTCTAGTGAGTTGTCCCCCTTTGTGCACTAGTGAGTTATCCCCCCTTGTTAAAAGTCTATTTGCTATTTTTCACTAAAATGTTTTGAACTTTTGTTGTATTTAAGCTCACAGTCTGTTGAATCACCATGTAAACTGCTATATAATTTCATTCTTTATTATTATTTATGCCCATTATATTAAAAATATTTGAAATTTCTTGTACATTAAAGGAAGACAATTAACATATCCTTAGGATGCAGACCACCATCTCGGTACCCACCATCTCGTTAGACCCCATTTCATTTCATTTCATTTCATTTCGTCAATACTGGGGGCTCATACTTAAAGCCATGGGAGAGAGAGAGGGGGGGGGGGGTATCATTTCTGGACTAATATATAGTTCAATTTTATTTCAATAATTCGCTTGCGCGTAGGGGTCATTAGCAGTGGGAGGAAAACGGAGGACCCGGAGAAAACCCACGCCAGTCACGTACAACCTGGGAATCAAAATCACGCCTGTTGACTCAATCAAAGACCTTATGATACAACGCGCATGCGCTAATCATCCGCCCCCCCCCCCCCCCCAAGAATCAACTAAGTCTTTCTCGCTCTCTCTGTATTTCCATGGACATTCTGTCTTGACTTTTTGATCTAAAATCGGGGGAAAAGGTTTGCATTTACATTTTCTGTCAGGTTTTGGTAAATATTCATGATTTAGAGGCGGAATTATAACAAAGATATAAGAGATTGATTACGGTTATATGTATGTCGGATAGTTAAACGTTTATGTGTCACATGATTTCAGTGATCAGCCTCATACATTCTTTGGAGCCAAGATATGGCCAGTTTTGCGTTCAGCACAACGAAAATATACCAGAATTAATATTAAAGTCAATAGGGAAAGTTATTGTGGTCTGACTGCATTTCTTAATTTTCTTCTCTAAAAAGTGAAGATAAGATAAAAGGGTACAGTACTATTACAAAAAGCGTACACCACGCCCCCCCCCCCCCCCGTATCATAATAGACCCATGCCACCTGCTGTTCTGATCTGTGTGGTGTCTTTATATATTGTTTATTTAAAGATCATTTAGACCATATTAAATCTATATATAGTCTATAACAGGACCGGATCATATTATATAATCTATAACAGGACCAGATTATATTATATCTATAGTTTGTGTTTATTTACAGATCATCTAGACCATATTAAATCTATAACAGGACCAGATTATATTATATCTATAGTTTGTGTTTATTTACAGATCATCTAGACCATATTAAATCTATAACAGGACCAGATTATATTATATCTATAGTTTGTGTTTATTTACAGATCATCTAGACCATATTAAATCTATAACAGGACCAGATTATATTGGATTAGGAGCAGATTTCGATGGTTCTGAGTAAGTTATAATTTTGTCTGTGAGATTCTGATGTATATGTTAGTAAATAATACGTAGGAATTTAGAATATTTATTTTCTTATAATGATATTAACATTTTTTTTATCATTTTTTTTCTCAGTAATTTTGGTGAAATCAGCGATGTTTCTAAGTATCCTCTTCTTTTTGCTGAACTCATCTCACGTGGTTGGTCGGAACCAGACCTGGAGAACCTAGCCTATAGAAATTTCTACAGGGTCTTTAAACAAGTTGAAAAGGTTGGTTCACGTGTTTTCAAAAGATGTAAATCGTTGGGTAGCCTTCTGTACTGTAAACTAAGGGTGGGAAGAGGGCCGGAATTGTGTTTTACTCTTACATTTATGAATTAACGTTGAAGATACAAACGTGCGAAGAATTGCCACCGTTTTGGGGGGGGGGGGGAATTGGGATTTTTTCGGGGGCGAATGGTTAGCGCGTGTGCGTTGTATCATAAGGTCAGTCATTGATTCAACTGGCGTGGTTTCGATTCCCAGGTTGTACGTGACAAGGAGTAGGGTCACCTGTCCAACCTCGTGGGTTTTTTCCGGGTCCTCGATTTCCTTCAGTTTTATTAAAATAGAATCGAACCATATGTTAGTCCCGAAATGACCTAGTTTGTGTTGAGTGTACGTTAACCCCCCCCCTCTCTCTCTCTCTCTCTCTCTCTCTCTCATAAGGATGGGTGACCAAGTTTTATATATTGTGAAGACGGTCATACATCATCACAGTGTGCTATGGGGGGACATTTTACTCGGACAGAGACACAGCGACCGACTCTAATTTCGAATTCCAACTATCAATGGTTGTTTACGTGCACGCAATATGTACTACACGAGACGTCAGTTTTTCGTCCTATCCGAAAGACTAATGTAATATAGATATTTGATATATTGTAGATTAGAGATAGTTTGTGTAATATAGATATTTTATATATTGTAGATTAGAGATAGAATGAGTAATATAGAACCAGATGATACACATATAGATATTAAAGATATACCTGATCAATCGTGTATAACAACCAAATGGACCTAGTAGACCGGGAATATCACAAGTATATTCACCAGTTGTTGTTTATGATAATAAATGATAATAAATTAGTTCTGTTGATGTTTTTACTCCTGAAGGGGGGGGGGGGGGGTGGATGGCTGAATGGTTAGCATGTGCGTGCTGCGCTGTATCATACAGTCTGCCATTGAGTATTGAGTCAACTGGCGGAGTTTCGATTCCCCGGTTGTACTGACAAGGAGTAGGGTCTCCTGTCCAACCTCGTGGGTTTTCTCCGGTTTCCTCCCAATGCTAAAGACCCCTACGCGCAAGCGAATTATTGAAATAAAATTGAACCATGTGTTAGTCCCGAAATGACCTAGTTTGTGTCGAGTGGACGTTAAACCGCATTTCTCTCTCTCTCTCTTTTACTGCTAAAGAAAGAAAGATGGGTGGGGGTAGACGGGACGGAGAGAGGGGGTGGGGTTAAACATCCACTCGCCAAAGCTAGATCATTTCGGGACAAATGTCACAGTTTATATTTCAAATACGAGTCTTTAGTCGTGGGAGGAAACTAGAGAACACGGCGAAACCCCATGCGGTTGGGCATGTGCAAGCATAGATGATCAAACCACGCCTCTTGACTTAATTATCTTGACTCCCCCCTCTCCCCACCACCTACTCCAATATATTTATTCAGCTGATAGTAACATGTTGGTCACTTTGTGGTTATAAAGATTAATATGATCGGAATGTCCAAAAACAAAATGTAGACCAACAAACAACATGGTCGAAAAAACAAACGTGTGAAGCAATTCCGCCATGAGGAATAAGTGTAATAAGGGTATATGTGTAATAATGGATGCTATAATTGCATGTACAATGGTATTATATGGTATGTTAATTATCTAGCCGGTAATATAATGCCTGTATAGATAGAGTAGTCCGATTCCACGTGTCGTATTGATTTTACTGTCCAGTTTCTGCCACAATCTCTATAATTAACTCGATAAATCTTAATAAAAGAAAATACGTGCACAGATGTCACTCAGAAGATTGTTTATAATGACAATGTTCAGCTGAGATTGTGCTTGCTGTCGCTTGTAATACATGTATATACTCTTCTCTCCCCCTCTCTCACTCTTTCTCTCTCGGTCAAGAGTTCAAGGGGGTGTTGACAGTGAAAGTTTGTAGGGATATCCAGTCTGTTTAGCCTCCTTTTTGTCCGTTTTAAAGGACAGAGGGTCAGACAGAAAAAGCGCATTTTGTCATTCGGCTGGAATAAAAAACCGAAGTCCCGTGGCAGAACATTGAAGATTCTAATTTAAGACAGTTGGACGTCTAAATGAGAGCCGGCCATAGCGCCACTGCTCGGGCAAAATTTCCTCATACCATACAGCAAGATATGATCGTCTTCATTAGTAACAGAAAAATATGACAGTGAAGTCTATTTCATCACAGTGTGGTGTACCCCAAATGCTGACAAATAGTAAGCCGCCTCGCCGCTCTCCAGGCAAAATTCTCCCCGTAGTACCACTGGCTCAAATACCAGGAGGTCCCGTGTTGATAGTTTGGATTTCTCTCATACTGCATGGCGTATCTTAATTAGTCGGAATGGAGCAGATAATGAGGAAGTTTGATTCTATTTCATTTCTAAAACATGGTTGGCGATGACAAACTGCAGTTTATATTAAAATACATTCTCACCTACAAAAATTGTACACCTTCAATATCAGGTGTAACGATCCCAAATAGGTGTTTTAATTTATAAATTATACCAGTAACGTCCTTACTTCAAGCAAAAGTTATATATGCGTCGGGAGCCGCCGTGAGTAAGACTTTGGCACGGTTACCTGCAGAGGGCCCGTGTTCGCTCCAGCTGTTGGCATGGTTACCTGCAGAGGTCCCGTGTTCGCTCCAGCTGTTGGCCGAGAAAGTTCATCGGGATGTTCCGGCATTGTTTCCCCTTGTCAGTGGTGCAGGATGGAGGCCTGGCATGGGATAAGGTATAGTCGTTCGGATGGTACGAAAAACCTAGATCACGTGTACACATTGGCGTGCACGTAAAAGATCTCTAGGCAGTTGGAATTCGATATAAGAGTTGGCCGTAGCGCCGTTGTCCGGACAAAATCTCCGTTATAGAACACTGTATATGACGTATAAGCTCGTCAACATTAGCCCATGCAGTCGGTGTACGTTACATTTCATTTCATTTATACATGCGTTACTAATTGTGTCTGTGTACCTTGGTGCCATCCAATTATAATATAGAAAAAAATTAGGGTTTCAATGAAATGAAATGGGGTTTTACGTCCTACTGTTCTGCTTCTATACTCGGCAAATGAAGACGGGCATACGCCATACACTGTGCTATGAGGGAAATTTTGCCCGGGCAGCGGCACTATCGTCTATTCTTATATCGAATTCCAACTGCCAAGAAATCTTTTAAGTGCATTCTAATGTATCCGAAGGACTAGACAGCTGTCCTTGTCAGGCCCTCCGTTCTGAACCACTGACAAGGGAAAACCACGTCGGAAAAATCCAGATAAACTTTCTCGGCCAATGCAGGAATCGAACACCCGACCTCCAGGCTAGCGAGCCAGCGTCTTAACCACACAGCCACCGTGGCTCCCCAATCTAAGAATGAATGTATGTACATCTCTACATGTCGGCACATAAAAAATTTCTTAAGTTCGATGAAGGACGTTTAGTGTCCGGTGATGCATAGGCCTACGGCAATAATAAAACCTAAAATCTCTCAAAATGTTCATTACGTGCTTAGAACTGTAGTTTATTATAATCTAGAGTTTTGAATTTTCACTAGAATAGTCCAGGGTGTTGTTTCCAAGATGTAAAATTAGAATCTAGAGTTTTGTATTTTCTCAAGAAAATAGCTCAGGGTGCCTGATGTTTTCACGACGTAAAATTAGAATTTAGAGTTTTGTTTTTTCACTAGAATAGTTCAGGGTGTTTGTTGTATTCACGACGTATAATTCGATATTTTCTTTTTTACTAACGGCCCATTTCTGTATTTCTCCACTACCCATTAACAAATAGATGATAGCTCCACCAACGTATATACCCGCTGTTATATAAAATACTATCTGCCACTCGGCCTGGGTTCCCTGAAAAAACAAACAATATACAATGCACACTACCTGGCACTCAGTCTGGGTTCCCTAAAACACCCTTGGAAAATACATAATAAACAATACAACGGGTCACGTACACGAGGCAGAATATAGTTTTACTTTAACATTGTCATGTATTAAACGTCATGGGTTTTAATCATGAGAAGGGAACCATGATGGGTCAGTGCATGTAGATGTGTTGACTCGGAATGCTCCCTTTGTCAGGGGTGCAGGACAGGGGGTCTGGCAAGTAAAAATGTCTAGTCGTTCGGATGGGACCAAAACGAGAGTGATAGCACTTTAAAGATCTCCAATCTGGATAAAAGTTTTCACTCGTAGCGCACTTTATTTCGTGTATAGAAGAAAAATGTGCTGAAAGTGACAAATATTGTCAAACTGATCGTGAACACTGCTTAGAATATGTGTCAGTGGTGTAGGGTAGGGGGTGGGGGTAACAAGAGACAGAGTATAGTCGTTCGGATGAGACGAAAAGCCGAGGTCCCGTGTACATATTAGCGTGCACGTAAAGGAACCCTTGACAGTTGGAATTCGATATAAGAGTAGGCCATAGAGGCGCTGTCCGGTCAATATTTCCCTCATATCACAATGTATGGTGTATGCCCGTCTTCATCAGCCCATCGGAGCAGAGGACGTTATGGTGTACGTCCGTCGTTATTAACCCAGTCGAAGCAGAACAGTAGGACGTTAAACCCCATTTCATTTGCTTAAAACACGACCATTAATTTGTAATAAAAGTTATAAAAGTAAATCTTACGTGTGGTGTAATAGCGTCAACAACTGTTGGTGCTATTATTCCTGGTATTGTTGCCAAGGTGTTAGAAATTCCAAAAATAATTCCAGCATATTGTGGTGCGATGTCGTTAAAGTTCACCAGAAACCCTCCACCATTTTGGAAACCTGTCATTGTGACTCCCAATGTCAACAACGCCACGGCATACGTCGATTGATTACAACCCATAAATCCGGTTCCTATCATTAAACCGGCAGGGATTATTTCACCTGAAATAAACAATACAACAATACGCGTAAAAGAGTTAAATCTGCCTATTGCGGGCCTTTCTCTAGACCTTAAATGATAAACTGTTAGACATTTATTAACTTGCCAAGACCATAATCTACTCTCGATTTCATCGTATACTCTAGATTTTCAATAGATTTAAATATGTTTAACGGTTAATGCGGTTACCGTAAAAATTCCTGCCTATCGCAGGTCTATCTCTAGGCCATAGACATTAATTAACTCGCCAAGACCATAATCACCTCTCGATGTTATCCTATACTCTAGATTTTCAATAGATTTTAATATGTTTAATGACTGACACGGTTAACGTAAAAATGGTTAACGCGTGCGCGTTGGGTCAGAGGGTCTGTCATTGAGTCAAGTGGCGCGGTTGTATGTGACAAGGAGTAGGGTCGTCTGTCCAACCTCATGGGTTTTTTTCCGAGTCCTCCGTTTCCTCCCACTGCTAAAGAACCCTACGCGCAAGCGAATTATTGAAATAACCTTGAACCATATGTTAGTCCTGAAATGACTCTCTCTCTCTCTCTCTCTCTCTCTCTCTCTCTCTCAAATCATCATTCAAGATGCTTTGTTTATTATTGTGTTATAAACTAACGTCTTTCGAATGATAGTGAACTGTGCATACAGTCAGTTCAGTATGGAAATGAAATGAAATGGGGTTTAACGTCCTACTGTTCTGCTCCTATACTGGGCTAATGAAGACGGGCTTACGCCATACAGTGTGCTATGAGGGAAATTTTGCCCGGGCAGCGGCACTATCGCCTACTCTTATATCGAATTCCAACTGCCAGGGGATCTTTTACGTGCATTCCAATATATACACGGGACCTCGGTTTTTCGTCTCATCCGAAAGACTAAGTTCAGTATGGAATAGTGTCATACCAATATTCACAGTATTATTATTATAAAAACAAACTACCTGTCGTGTTAAAAACTTTCCTGGTAACTGTCGGAGATAGTAGGTTTCTTTTCCTTACAAAATCTGCCAAATTACTGGCCAAAAGCATACACACCCATAATCCTATATAAGGTAAAGCTGACAGAACGCCATTCTGTAACAAAATATGTTCTCAACTGAGAGGTTTATACAACTTACAGTTTTGTTATGCATTTTTAATGAAATTGGGTATAACGGTCCATTTAATGCCCCGACCGCGATAATGAAGACGGGCTCGCGCCATGTAGTATGTTAAGTATTGGGTAGTATTTGGTGGTATTGGGTGGTATTGGGTTCTGTCTACTTTTCATTGACTTTTAACTGCATCCTAAAAGACACACATTTGTTGGAGGAGCAGAAGAAATAAATTAGTAGGGCGAGGCAAAAGAACGAGGCACGAATCTTGAGGAAGAAAAGACACCGTACAGTTCGTTGGAATCTGTTAATATGCGTCTCCATGACGCTATAAAACAATGGGACAGTCTTTACCATGAGCCAAAACATGATATGAACAGAACATATCATTTAGGTGTATACTAAAGCATAAATGCCTTGGTTATAATCCAAGCTCAATGATTTGGCGAATTTGTTTAGTGAATCTTCAAGAGTTCATCGGGTCTACAAGGATCGTGCGTTGGCGTGCAGTAAAACAACTCATGGAAGTTGGAAATCGTAATAACAGTAGGACGTAAAAGCGATTTCCGGACCAAATCTAGCTCATAGCACACTGTATGGTGTATGCCCGTTTTCATTAACCCAGTCGGAACAGAATAGTATAGGACGTTCAACCCCATATGTCAATTGTGGGGGTTTACGGTTTTCCGGCGTGGTTCGCCCGTGTCAGTAACGCAGAACGGAGGTACAGATGTCTAGTCGTTCGGGTGGGACAAGAAATCGAGGTCCCGTGTACACATTGGCGTGCACGTAAAAGATCCCTTGACAGCTGGAATTCGATATGAATGTAGGGCGTAGTGCTGCTGCCCGGGCAAAATTTCCCTCATCGCACACTGTATGGCGTATGCCCGTCTTCAGCAGCCCAGTTCGGAGCAGAACAGTAGGACGTTAAACCCCATTTCGCGATATTGAAAGATTGTATTACGTTTTTAATATTAAACTTGAGAACATCTTTCATGTAAGTTGGTATCATGGTTATGAAGACATCTGTTCCCCAGTTAGATAATGAATGGGCTATGATGATCGCCCAGACAGCTTTACTCGTTAAGATGGATAACCACGGTATAGAACGCTTCATCTAAAATGGAAAAAAATAGAAAAATTAAACAGCTGGATTCACGATATGTTAAACATACATTATGCAAGAGCTAAATCTGTCCATTGAAGGTCTTTCTTTGGGCCTTAAATGAGCTAAATCGCTAATATTTGGGACCTAGAAATGGACACAAGGTCGCAACGCATATTATAATGTTGTATGGATGTATATAAACTATTTTACATTCAATCTTTTTTGTTTTTACTGTAATTTCTAATCGAATGACAATCTCTAGCGTCTGGTTATTCCAGCTTACACCGATAATATTTATTGTGCATGCTTTCTAGATAAGAATACGGCGTCACCGTTTGACATGACTTGTGGAATATGTCTAGCCCCGTTCTTCAAGTGCATTGTTACAAATAGCGCTGAAACGCATTGTGGTACCAATAGTAAAATGTTTATTTTGTCTTGGATATTGGATATCAGAAGCCCATCTTTTCCCGGTAAGATCACAACATCGATGTTGATTTAAACATGCATTATGCAAGAGAAAACTCTGCTTATTACAAGTCTTTCTTTAGGCCTGAAATGTTATCTAAATTATCAATTAGACATTCATTAATTAACTTATCCAGACCATAATAAACTCCCGAGACTACACTGTTCTTCTACCGACGACAACGACGCTCAGGGTGAAGTAACTATCATATATTGTTCAATTTTATTTCAATAATTCGCTTGCGGCGTAGGTGTCTTTAGAAGCGGGGGAACCGGAGGACCCGGAGAAAACCCACGAGCTTGGACAGAAGAACCTATTCCTTGTCACGTACAACCGGGGAATCTAAACCACGCCATTTAACTCAATGACATATATTGCGTCAAACCCCCAAAACACCCTATGGCTCACTAAACCATGATATCCCGGATTCGACTTCAGTTTTGGCCGAACAATTTGCTTGCGATTTACCAGCAGGATCTCGCCATGTCAGACGTACAGAACTTTAGGCCTTGTAGAACCAGGGGCCTGTTTCACGAAATTTTAACTAAGATAAACTCCAAATTTTAGTAATTTGATTGGATAATATTAAATTGTTTAAGTCGTTAACCAATCAAAATTGAAGTATTTACTAAAATTTGAATTTTATCTTTAGTTAACATTTCGTGAAACAGGCCCCAGCATATTATAGTGGTGCTGATGGGACAAAAATCATGACTCATTCGTGTAGGCTAAATATTAGGGTGCACGTAAGAGAACCACTGTTATCTCAGTTGGAATTTAAATCAGATGACGCACCCACATTGTATATTATTCGACCAACGGTATCATGGGGTTGAGACTGGAAGTATGACGTCAATCTGACCGCCCCCCCCCCCTCCCCCACTCGCTCATCTGGGACTATTAATTATGACACTCGTCAATGTTCAATAATTACCTGGTTATTTGAGATTTTGCCTGATAAACAACTAGTGATGTATTTCTTCTCTTTTTCTGATATTCTGGGATGCTGTTCTGGTGAATCGTGTATTAAAATCATCCATGCTAGAAACCAAATGAAACCACACGCACCTGTTGGAACATAAATATCATTATAGCATTTAAATACATGTATAAACCTATATGTGTGTGATCTATACTGGTTCATTTCTAAACATAATAACCCCATTCGATGTACACTGGGTCTTTATTCTATATAATAACCCCATCCTATGCACACAGGGTCTTTATTTTTATAATAACCCCAATGGAAGTACGCGGGGTCTTTATTCTGTATAATAACCCCATTCGATGTACACGGGGTCTTTATTCTGTATAATAACCCTATTCGATGTACTAAGGTAGCGGTTTGACGCGATACACGAGGTCAGGTTTTGCCCGATTCCAAAGATTCGAACATGAAAGACAGGATTTTATACCATCTTGAGCTCGATGTCGACGGATAGAAATAACCTATGCTACAGGGACATCAAACCATAAAGATGTCGCGCGATGGATCGATGACTGTTGGAAAAAGAAAGTACTGCGAATTTTAATAATTGTTGGGCCAATATATATTTTGGGGTGGAAGACTACTTTAATTTATATTGTGTCTTTTAGTCTTGGTTATTGTGTCTTTTTGTCTGAATTATTGTGTCTTTTATTCTGGGATATTGTGCCTTGTATTCTGGGATAGTGTGTCTTGTATTCTATAGGGATATTGTGTCTTTTAGTCTTGGATATAGTGTCTCTTAGTCTCGGTTATTGTGTCTTTAATATATAAATACCTAGTACGTAGAAGATACTCGGCCAACCACCATTAAAACCATATTGACACAATAAACCCGCTATAGGGAACGTTATCACATTACCAGCTTGTGCTCCTGTAATATATAAATAGTTACCATAGCAACAACTTCCATACTGATATATTGTCATACATATAGTCCAGGAGCTAATGACAAAATAATATGGTCATCAGTTACAAAAGGTTTGAACACCCAAATTCGTAGCAGGTGTCCGTACGAGTAAAAATCAGTTGGTCAGATCGGGCACTGCTGGGGCGTATAGCCACAGCAGCACCTTAAAGTAGGCCCCAGGGGGCCTAAAATTAGGTCATAAGTTACATGGCTGAAACTTTGTAGGGACAATGGTATCCATAGTCAGAGTAAATATTTCACAAATCTAACCAAAATTTCCGGGGCTTTCCCCAAGTCAGACCACGCCCAATATCGCCTTACGGGGCTAATAATATGGTCATAAGTTACATGGCTGAAACTTACCAGAAACAAAGATCCACACTTGGTAAATACAATTTTCAAAAATCTAACCAAAAATTTGGGGGCTTTCCCCAAGTCAGATCGCTCTAAAGTATGTCCGACCACACCCTAAAAATGGGGCTTTTTATATGGTCATAAGTTACATGGCTGAAACCTACCAGAAACAAAGATCCACACTTGGTAAATACAATTTTCAAAAATCTAACCAAAAATTTGGGGGCTTTCCCCAAGTCAGATCGCTCTAAAGTATGTCCGACCACACCCTAAAAATGGGACTTTTTACATGGTCATCAGTTACATGGCTGAAACTTACCAGAAACAAAGATCCATACTTGGAAAACATATTTTTCAAAAATCTAACCAAAAATGTTGGGGCTTTCCTCAAGTCAGATCGTCCTAAAGCCCACCTGGCCACGCCCTAAAAGTGGGACTTTTTATATGGTCATTAGTTACATGGCTGAAACTTACCAGAAATATTGTTCTATGCATGAAAAATGTATTTTTCGAAAATCTAACCATAAATGTGGGGGCTTTCCCCAAGTCAGACGGGCCTTAAAATTGCAGCCCCACCCACCCCCTCTATATAAAGCTTATAATAAGGTAATATCAATAATACATTGTTGATCCGCAACAAGATTCAAAATTATAGCACAAAAATAGAACAATTTAATGTTTATTAGCTATGTGAAATCCTAAAATGAGCAATGGTATCAAGTGTTGTAGGAAGAGTAAGCATGTCATACCTCATTCACGACACATGTCATGAATAGATAGTTAGGACTGATGTTAAATTTATGTCTTCAAACGTTCTGTATTCCATCACAACAACCCATTCAACGATGATTCAGAATGTTATTCAATATCTTATATCAAAGTGGAAAATTCAAACAAATATTTCGAAAGTATTTATTGTATTAAAGATACATTATGTAAGATTTAGATAAAGAACTAGCCATTCTTGCTATAATAGTTCGAAAGTAGATGATGTAAAATGAATAATTTTAAAATTTCATTTAAATTACTCTATTGCAAGCGAAGATATTAGCCTTTGAAGGTTTGACAGACGTGGGCAATAATTTCAACCACCGCACTGGTTGATCGAAGCTAAGTCTCGGTCCTCCATATTTGATTAAATCAAAGTATCGCTGAACCATTCTAATCTATTCAATATCGGAGAAAACTGATGCCATCGAGAGTTGATTAAGGCCTGGATCAGTTAATTAATGTCTAATTAATACTTTAGAAAACATTTCAGACCTAAAGAAAGACCTGCAATACGCAGATTTAGCGTATGCATAATGCATGTTTAATAAGTTGCTTTGGTTTGAATTCGGTAGTTTTTGCCTTTCCCGATCTTCGATCATGAATAACAACCTAATGGATTTTTAAAAATGTTAGTCAGTGATGAATTTCTGAAATTATGAAATCTATTCATAGTTTTAATACATATAACTTTAGTTATCCTTCCTCATCATTGGTAAATATTTGTTCCACATAACATTTTAATGATTTAAAATAAGTGAGTAAGCGTGGCTGGATGACGCAAATAGTTAACCTGTCACACTTTCATCATCACTACAAGGATTGTTTGATTCGTCATCGAAGTCCTTGCTTTCTTGGTCACTATCTTCATCTATGCAAATACTCTCAACTAACACTGGAGCAACATCACCATCAAACCACTTTAATTCATACACCCCATCATCATTTAAAATCCTCCTTCTATTCTCTGGATGGAAATTGGGGAGATTATTCTTTGATGCATTTATCCAGATACTACATATATAATTCGCTCTCTTGATTTTCAATGTTAATACCTGTGAGCATGGCGGCAAAGGACTCACTTCTATGCCTTTAATACCAGAAAGGCATCCATTTTTAGGCATCCAAACAAATCCTTCAATAACTATTTACTCCAGAAAGAATGGATTTGCTTCTACCGAGAGAAAACAAGGCTTTCTGGACATAAACAGCCTTTTCTAATAATTTTAAAGGTCGGGCATTCCCTTTCCTATTAAACGATGTAGTATGATCAAAGCCAGTGAGTGCATGGATGCTTCAAATCTTTTTCTCCTTTTACGGCCGATTGGTTTATATGCAATTATTGGCGATTGGTTGAATGCCTACTGTATCAAGAAGAGTGTCTTTACCAGAAAGAATTTCAACAAATCTATCGTATTTTTTAAAAACAATCCCAGTTGATAGGTGTGGTGACACCATCATGCCAATGGGTGTTTCTTGGTTGCGCTCAGTGGATGTAAATGTCAATTCTGTTCGAGTTCCTCAATGCTATTGTAACTTAATGTATGTCCCAAACGATTAAGAATCTCAATAACTTTTTTACTGCCTGTAAGACTTTTCACTGCAAGACCCAGTTATAGGTGTTTTGATGGCTTAGTTCTACCCCTGATTAAAGACTAAATGACATGCTGACTAATGGAATTAATTCTCTTGACTTTGTTTTATCCACAATTAGATTATGGACCAACTAGTAGATGTGTAAAGAAAGCGGAGACCATGTCTGGTACTGCTATTTCACCAATTATGATATGTTGTATGGTTAAATTTTCAGGCAGTTTAATTTTCTTTGTACTGAATATTTCTCATCGGATTAAGAAAGTGACACCCTGAACTGTATGTTCGGTTTCTCTGGCGTTGTCAGATGCCTTGCGAACAGCGTCATCAACATTTAAACCTTTACTGAAGACAATATTACCATATTTATTTCCACTGTCAATTGAAATATTCTCACCAAAGAATTTATATAACCAGCTTGTTCTGCAAATCGCTGGGCAAAATACCTAACTCTGTATAGTTTCCGCCACCAAATTCTAATAAACATGACTGATAGTATTGCAGTAAGCTATTTAACAGGTAGATCTCTTGTTTTTCCAGAATAATGTCAGTCACAAAACTACATAAAGCATCAAATGCTTTGGTATGTATATTCCTAGCATCATGTCATTCACTTTTATCATATGACCCGCTTACTTCTCGCATCTTTTCAGCTCTGCGTTGATATTCTATTCTGCACATTACATGATAATGAATGTCTTTGCCAATGAAATCTATATCTTGGATGTTCTTAAGCATATTTTCATCCTGAAGAATTGTTGCATATTCTTCAATATTTTTTTCGATTGTCTTTGTGACACAGGTTACTTTCTGTTTCTGACCTTGATGTTTTCTGTTTGATTTTCTGCAAAACAGGCAGACCTTCTCGAACACACCGGAACTGGATGCAGAAGTCAATGTTAAACATGATCTCATCAATTTGGGATTGGAATTTGGATTGTCATTTTCTTGTACTTCATCATTCTGTTTCTTTTGAATTTTAGATAGCTCCGTAAATCTTTTACATCATTCCATATGAAATCCTTGAAACTCATTAACAACTTTGGGGAGCATAATTTCAGCATACTTCAAACGTGACTTTTTCCGGATTTCTAAAATTTGTTGACAGTTTTGTAGAGTATCTTTCTTAAAAACAAGAATCCGACCGACATCGGGACCATTGCCAGAATGAAGACAGCACCAGCCTTCGTACGATATGATGTATACCAGAATATAGAAGTAAGGGTGGTTGATTTTTCCAACTTGACGTATTTGTATTTTTGTATGTATTTATCTACATGGACATATTTGTACTGGATCTACTCTAATCTATATACATGCTTATATATATTACTGCTTGACTTTACGCCTTAATTCAGAATATTTATAAATTTCAGTTATATTACCAATTGGATTGATTTTAACATCGTCTTTTTCAATTTCCATGTTGTAATGAGTTCTTAGGCTTCAACTTGCAAAATGAATGAAATTTGTTCCGACTGTAAAAATTGCATACCTGTTGTGTGGAAGAAAACAAAATAATTGTACTCTATGAGACACTGTAACTGAAGACTAATATACAATACATGTACACCTATAGAATATTATATTGTACAAAATATTTATATTATGAGATAAAAAAGTTCATTGTTGGTAGCACAGAGATAAACTGTTCTAATGATCACCATGGGAACTGCCAGACCCAAGTTATAAACCATACTACAACACTGTTATTTAATTTTAAATGTAAATATGTTTAGATGATTTATATAGAGGGGGTGGGTGGGACTGCAATGGTAAGGCCCTTCTGACGTGGGGAAAGCCCCCCACATTAATGGTTAGATTTTCGAAAAATACATTTTCCATGCATGGGACAATATTTCTGGTAAGTTGCAGCCATTTAACTCATGACCATATAAAAAGTCCCATTTTTAGGGCGTGGCTAGGTGGGCTTTAGGACCATCTGACTTGAGGAAAGCCCCAACATTTTTGGTTAGATTTTTGAAAAATATGTTTTCCAAGTATTGATCTTTGTTTCCAGTAAGTTTCAGCCATGTAACTTATGACCATATAAAAAGCCCCATTTTTAGGGTGTGGTCGGACATACTTTAGAGCGATCTGACTTGGGGAAAGCCCCCAAATTTTTGGTTAGATTTTTGAAAATTGTATTTACCAAGTGTGGATCTTTGTTTCTGGTAAGTTTCAGCCATGTAACTTATGACCATATAAAAAGCCCCATTTTTAGGGTGTGGTCGGACATACTTTAGAGCGATCTGACTTAGGGAAAGCCCCCAAATTTTTGGTTAGATTTTTGAAAATTGTATTTACCAAGTGTGGATCTTTGTTTCTGGTAAGTTTCAGCCATGTAACTGATGACCATATTATTAGCCCCACGAGGCGATATTGGGTGTGTTCTGACTTGGGGAAAGCCCCGGAAATTTTGGTTAGATTTGTGAAATATTTACTCCGACTATCGATACTATTGTCCCTACAAAGTTTCAGCCATGTAACTTATGACTTAATTTTAGGCCCCCTGGGGCCTACTTTAAGGTGCTGCTGCGGCTATACGCCCCAGCAGTGCCCGATCTGACCAACTGATTTTTACTCGTACGGACACCTGCTACGAATTTGGGGGGTCAAACCTTTTGTAACTGATGACCATATTATTTTGTCATTAGCTCCTGGACTAATACAGGTTATATCACACAATAAACCCACAATAATGGTCTCGAGTAAGACATTGCGTAATATATTGAAACAGCCCTGGGGCTAACGTCCTCGTGCAGTATCAACATATTACTTATGTTTCACCCTCGACCATTTAACTAATCATAGAACATCTGAACCCAAAATAAAGATCGAAAGACCTGCACTAGACAGATGTAGAGATCTGATGTAGACCTTTAAAGAAAGATAATAAACTCACCCGCCATAGCAAATGAACAGAGTATGCTAACCTCTGCCGGGATTGTCCAGTGTGCTAGAACTGTTTGAACTGCTGGGAAGCCAACTCCCTGAAAATATACTATTATCAAATTCCATATTGTCAAATGTCAATTTCCTAGGAGCGATTTTAAAATGGCGGTACATCATATCACGTAAACTGAATTAACGTACCTTCTGCCGAGGAAAACAATATATATCTTTTCATGTATTTCTAATATATTGCGCGGTCGAATCGGATAGACAGAGATACGTTTCATCTCAATTGACCAAATCTCTGCCGAGCGCAGCGAGTCCAGACTTTTGAAGGATTGTTTACAAAGCGAACATGATATAATTTTAACTAGATAAAACCTGTTGCTTTAATTGTTTTATCGAGAACATTAGGTTTCCGGGCGAAATTGTTTTATGGAGAACTGGGGCACATTAGGTTTCCGGTTGAATTTTGGTTTTGTCACAGGAATCGTTTCGAAATACTTAAGGACTATTCGAAATGTCGGATTAATTTCTGTAATCAGCCATCAAAAAGGCTAGGGAATGAGTCGAGACACTTTGAAAGTCTAATGGGTTTTATCGTCCTGTAAGAGCCGGAGGGGGGGGGGGGTGTAGCTCCCCCAGATTCGATGAACCGTCCATTTTTCGGCAATGTATATCCGTTTTTTGAACACAAACATCACATTAAGTTGTTTTTGCTAAACATATACATTTATATTGTTGTGTAATTAAAAATAAATAACCATCATAGAGATGCATTCTGAGTATTCGGTTGACAAAGAAAATTTTCGGGCAAGTAGCCTTAGCCCCCCCACCCCCAACAGAGGATGGTCCCCTATGCCCCTATGCATATACTGTTGTTATGCACGAACCCATGCAGTGCGCTATAAGGGTAATTGCCTTGACCTGATCCACACGATAACATCACAATATACATTCGTGACAGGTTAGTTGTTTTTAAATGTTAAATAACAAAAAGCTAAAAGGATATTCACATAATACAGGTCTAGATCTGGTATAATTTATCAATGATATATTGACATATAATGCCTCTGATTATATCTACACACAAGATATCGTGATAATAACTTTTCTTATCAACAATTTTTTATCATTTCACACTAATATCTGAATGACTCGTCTGTTTATCAGGGGGGGGGGGCGACTGGTTAGCGCGTGCGCGCTGTGTCAACTGGCGTGGTTTCGATTTCCAGGTTGTACGTGACAAAGGTCGCCTATCCAACCTCGTGGGTTTTCTCTGGGTCCTCAGGTTTCCTCCCACTGCTAAAGACCCCGACGCGCAAGCGAATTATTGACATATGTTAGTCCCGAAATGACCTAGTTTGTGTCGAGTGGACGTTAAACCCCCCTCTCTCTCTCTCTCTGGGTCCTCCGGTTTCCTCCCACTGCTAGAGAACCCTACGCGCAAGCGAATTATTGAAATAAAATTGAACCGTGTGTTAGTCTCGAAATGACCTAGTTTGTGTACTCTCTCTCTCTCTCTTTCCCTCCCTCTCTCTCTCTCTCTCTCTCTCTGTTTATCAAATGGTGGATAAAAAAAAATTTAGAGGCCATATTTGTAGCAAAATAGCATTTTAGGCCATCAGTCTACCCAATTAAACTAGTGGATCAGAATTTTATGGACTATTCGTACCCAATCTGTTTGACAGAGGAATGTTAAAACCTTCTTTTCACTCTAAGAAAACAGGTAAACATGTGAAATCATGAATGACATGAAATAGGGTTTAATGTCCTATTGTTCTGCTCCGACTGGGCTAATGAAGACGGGCTAACGTCATATAGTGTGCTATGGGACAATTCAGCCCAGGCAGCGGCGCTACGGCCTACACGTATATCGAATTCCAACTGCCAAGGGATCTTTTACGTGCACGCCAATTTGTACACGAGACCTCGATTTTTTGTCACATCCCATCCGACTATACGTTGTCCCTTGCCAGGCCCTTGGTCAGAGAGTTAGAGAGAGCGAGAGAGAGGGGGATAGAGAGAGGGGGGATTTACGTCAACTCGACAAAAACTAGGCCATTACGGGACTAACACATGGTTCAATTTTATTTCAATAATTTGTTTAGCAGTGGGTGGAAACCGGAGGACAAAACCACGAGGTTGGGTAAGCAACCATACTTCTTGTCACTTACAACCGAGGAATCGAAAACACGCCAGTTGACTCAATGACAGACCCTATGATACAACGTGTACGCGCAAACCATTCGGCCATCAATCCTCCCTAAGGTATGAATGCCCTCAGTAAAAGATTCACTTACCTGGCTAAGACCAATTATGATTCTTAACGCCATTAAGTAGTAAAACCCCTGTTGAGCAGCCACCGGGATGAGAAGATTGGCTATAATCCCCACCAACATAAACCAACCGAACACCCGTTTCCCGCCAAATCTAGTGGATAGCCATCCTCCAGGAATCTGGGTAACTATATATCCCCAGAAATAACCACTCAATATGAATCCTTGTTCTTCTTTTGACCAGGCAAACGGTCCATCTTCCTAAAATATAATACACAGACAAACGGTCCTAAAATATAATAAGCAATTAAAGGATCGATGCGTCAATTGTATTTTAGCTAAAATATTAAAATTTTCACGGCTTAATCCCCGCTAAATAAGTAAATATGTACTCAGATTGATTATTTAAAATTTAATTGAGAAAACAAAATACCAACCCTAGTAATCTCTCGGCTGGGATTCATTCGAATTTATATATACTAAGCCCACCGGGTTTTCCCGCTGCCGATAAAAGATGGCGGCGTCTTTTTCGGTCGATGAAATTTCAATTTATCATAACTTCGTCAATACTGAACAGAACTGAACCATTTTTGGACTAATATTACTTTCAGAGATTAAACCTTCATAAACAACCTTTGACTCGCTAATCGGAGGTACAGTGTTCAATCTCGGTGTTGGCCGAGAAGGATCATTGTACACATTGCCGTGCACGTAAAAGAACCCTTGATAGTTGGAATTCGAAATATGAGTAGGCCGGTCAAAATGTCTCCCATAGCTCATACAGTGTACTATTAGGGAAATTCTGGCCTGATGACAGTTGGATTTCTAACGGGGCCTCGTTTCTTTTGTCCCATCCGAAAAAATAGATGCTTTTCTTTCCCAGGCCCCCTGTATTACAAAATGTCCCCCATAGCACACTGTATGGCTATCCCAGTCGCAGCAGAACAGTAGTCCGTTAAACCCTATTTCATTTCCCTGACTACAAGAATGAATTTACTGCAACTTTAGCCTACCGTATCCGTGGTTGAGTTTTCAGGGGTCAACTGACCATCACAAGTCGACGAGTCCTTGTTATTGGGTTCATCTGCTGTAGTATTCACGTCCATCAGACCCACGGCGGTATGGTTGACCATACACACTATAGCTACACTCATATTCACACGCAGAGCATATAGTGTGATCAAACCAAGGCAGCACATTACAGACACGCCCAGTCGGACAGAACACCATATCTTCACGTTTTCTGAAATCAAGAAATTCTTACAGACAATCGTAGTGCTGATACGGACTTGTATACCTAGTCCTTCGAATGGACCAAAAACCGAGGTTCAGCCGTGTACACACTGGAATTCCCGTAAACGAACCCTCAACAGTTGCAATTCCGGGTAAAATATTTGCTTTGGTGGGACGGAAAACCGACGTCCCGTTTACACATTGGCCTGCACGTAAAAAAAAAACCTTGACAGTTGGAATTCGATATAAGAGTAGGCCGTAACGTCGCTGTTTGGTTTTGTCATGCAAGTAGAACCCTCTGTTGCTCGCCGCAGGTATGTCAATCAATCCTATTTTAGTATTTGTCTAGTTGTTTGAATCGTATGAAAAACTGACATCCCGTGTGCATGTAAAAGATTCACTTGCAGTTGGAATTCGATATAAGAGTAGATCGTAGTGCTGCTGTCTGGGCAAAATTTCACTCATAGTACACTGTATGGCGTATGCCCGTCTTCATTATCCCAGTAGGACGTTAAACCCCATTCAATTTCATTGCATACAAGTTTCAATTGCCGAAGGTGTTTAATGTTTCTGTCGCTCCATTGAGAACACATCAGAGATGTTGCACTCAATATAATCAAAATAATCAATTATTGTTCATATACAATATTCCTGAGAATATAACAAAAATAACCAATTCGATCAACCTAAGAGAATATATACATATACATGTAGACACTTCCGTATTCCTCTCTCCCTCTTCAATATCCGAGTCGGTGCAGAACAGTAGTGCGTTAAATACCATTTCATTTAATACATCCCACAACAACTTATATCTCAGCAAAACCTTCATACAAACGTCATTATTAATTAATACAACAAAATCACGTTACTCACTCACCATTAGCCATCGTTAAATATTAATACATCAGAGGTCAGAGTTCACCGTATATTGTCATCTATATAGGTATCAAGCCGAGATGTTGAGATAAAATAAATATCGATATCGGACAGACTAACACCACCTTCGCCTTCTCTGACATTCATATACATGTAATAAACAAATGTTATTTTATAGATAAAGGTTTTGTTAAGATAAAAAAAGGGCGTTCTGAATTTTCCTAAGTTACGTGGGAGCCACGGTGGCTCACTGAGTAAGACGTTCGGTTGCTAAACATGGAGCTCCCATGTTCTATTCCGATGTTGGCCTAGAAAGTTCATCCGGATTTTCCGACGTGGTTCCCCCTTCTCAGTGATGTCGAACAGATGGGATGAAAACCGAGGTCCCGTGCACACATTGGCGTGCACGTAAAAGAGCCCTTGGTAGTTGGAATTCGGTATAAGAGTAGGCTGTAACGCCACTGTTGTGGTCAAAATTTCCCTCATAGCGCACTGGGCCCTTATTCACGAAAACTTAAACTAAGTTACAACCGAAATTTTAAGAAATACTGCAACTTCATTGGATATATGAAAATTGATTTTACTGGTCAGCCAATCGAATTGCAGTATTTCTTAAAATTTCGATTGTATCCTAGTTTAAGTTTTCGTGAATAAGGGCCCAGCTTGTTGTATGCCCGTCTTCATTAGCCCAGTCGGAGCAGAGAGTACGTTAAACCCCATTTCATTTCACCTCCTTGCGCTTCGTTAAGTTCGATTCCTTCAGCGTCCAATTCCGGCGTTGACTGAGAAGACAAAGACAAAAGAAACAAACCCAGTACGGTACACCGTTTCTACACTGCACCGTTTCTACACAGTGTAGAAACGGTGTTAAGGAAGTTAATTTCAGGAAATAAAACTCAAAACATACAACACCGAATACGAGTACACTTGCCGAAACGTTGTGCTAAATGTACTTTATAACAAACTAGTAACTGTATTCGATATAAAAAGTCGAAGCTATCGGAGGTTGGAGGAGGTGTTAATGAACGAAATGAAACGGGATTTAACGTCCCACTGGTCTGCTCTAACTCGCCTAATGAATACGGACATGAATACGGACATACGCCACACAGTGTGCTATGAGAAATGAAATGAAATGGGGTTTAACGTCCTACTGTTCTGCTCCTATACTGGGCTAATGAAGACGGGCATACGCCATACAGTGTTCTATGAGGGAAATTTTGCCCGGGCAGCGGCACTATCGCCTACTCTTATATCGAATTCCAACTGCCAAGGGATCTTTTACGTGCATTCCAATGTTTACACGGGACCTCGGTTTTTCGTCTCATCCGAAGGACTAGACAGCTGTCCTTGTCAGGCCCTCCGTCCTGCATCACTGACAAGGGGAAACCACGTCGGAAAATCGGGATGAACTTTCTCGGCCAATGCAGGGATCGAACACCCGACCTCCAGGCTAGCGAGCCAGTGCCTTACCCATCTAGCCACCGTGGCTCCCGTGTGCTATGAGTGAAATTTTACCCGGACAGCAGTGATATAGCAGGGTTCTCCTACGTGCAAACCACAATGGGCACATGGGACCTCAGTTTTTCGCCCCATCCGAACCACGAACTAAGTGCGATAAACCCATCCCCCCTAGGAAAAATTAAAATCCACGCAGAACATCGTCTTTTGTTATTAGCGGGTTATCGTTTTTCGAAGATGTTATATTTTTTTGGGTTTGTTATTAACCTGTTATCGGTTTTCAAGGATATTATATTTTTTTGTTATTAATCGGTTATCGGTTATAAAAAATGTTATATTTTTCACATTAATCGTAAAATATAAATATGTTGATAAAGGTTTGGTGTTGTCTAGTTTATTTAAGTTGGTCAAAACCTTCATCTAGTTTATATCAACCTAGATAAAACTACGTGAAAAACACGAGTTGCCAGCAAACACGACACATAATCTGAGCCGGCACATCTGAATAAAGGTTAAATTTATATGTTAAATTTACAAATCATACTCATAATGCACCACACATAATTACACAAAACAAATCAACGGACAAGACACAATACGCAGAAATCACAAACAAACGTACATATACGATTAAGTGAATCGATCCGGGGTCTAGCCGTAAGATAGTAATAATAATTCTACTATCTCATTAGTGCTCGATTCTTTCCCTTTTTCTCTGATCCCGGGGTCCTTATATTAAACCAGGATATGTGCCAGTGCCAATAGATACTCAGCACGATATCTCCTATGTATAAGAGGAAAGTGGATTGGTCGGACTGGGAGAGATAGGATACATGTATGTCACTCGTGTGACATGAACCTAATTGAAAACCAATCGCATTTCATATTAAGTTGTCTCCAATACAATGATCTTCAATCTACATTTATCAGCAAATATCTTGAGAAGGTCATGTCAACTAAATCCATGACAGTATTGCGAGATGTTGCAAAGTTTATTTATTTGCCTTTAGAAAGAGAAAGGCCGTCCAACGCAGTCCAACTAACCCTGTATAAACTATACCTTATATATTTGTACTATTATAAATACATGTATGTATTATATTGAAAATTTCCATTTATATTTTAACCTCGATGACCTGATTCATATTATATTATATTAATATCTAAAAATAGTAGATTTCTAGTATAATAACTCACAGTATTATATCCAACTTTATGACAATTTTATACATTGTATTTATGTTCTTTGGGTCTCTGACCTAGAAACGAAATAAACTATATATTATTATTATAGATTCCCTGAAAAAAAAACCGGCTATATGGGGCACGCACATAGGCGTACGGGCTCGATGACAGTTAGGGGGGCAGAACCCGAAATGCCCGAAAAAATTTCGGATGTACAGACAGCGGCGCCGATCTTCCTCGAGAGGCGAAGAAGCAGAGCTCCCCTTGTATTGTACCCCCCCCCCCCCCAAGAAAATTCGTGAATATTTGACGGCTGCAAACATAATTTCCTGCTATTTGAGCCCGTCAACAAAGCAACTTCAAAGTGGTCAAATATAGCCTAATTAAGATGGCTGACTCGAATTCCAATCAAAAGATCAATCGTTTAACAGCCGCATACGCGTTTTCCTGCTATTCCAGTCTGTAAATACAGCAACTTCTATTTGGTCCAATATAGCCTACCGCGCTGACCCGAATTCCAAACAACCAATCAATCCTCTCGGGGTATGTGAGCCTCTCCCTCCCGGAGAAAATTTTGAAAATCTAACCACCGCAAATGCGTTTTCGGCTATTCTAGCCTGTGTAAGCAACTCCAAAAGTAGTCAATGGTTTTGTAACCGAAATCCCATTCTGAATTCCAACCATCCAATCAGACTGTTGCAGCTGCATTCGCAATAATAATCGATACCTGAAAAATATCGCACAAAGTAGCGTGGCTCCAGACAAAATGTTTTAATCCATAGTCAACTCAGTACAAATTTGTGGTATTCAATTAAAAGAAAAGGAAAAATTAGTGTATTATTAGGGCTCAATGACAGTTAGGGAAGAAAAACTAGAAATGCCCGAAAAAATTTCAGGTTTACAGACAGCGGCGCCGGTTTTCTTCGAGAGGTGAAGAAGCAGAACTGACCTTGTATGGACCCCCGAAGAAAAATTTGACGGCCGCAAACGCGTTTTACTGCTATTTCAGCCCGTAAAATTAGTGTTTTATTAGATTTCGGGCACTTTATTTTGCCAAGTAGATGAAATAAATTTTTTTTTTCACTTTACCCTTCTGCCCAAAAAGTCAGCTTGCCCCCCTGGCTCGTACGCCTATGGGCACGCACCAGACAAAAATGTGAGGGTACCCCTAAAAGAAAGCTTGTTCGAGCAGGGGCGGATCCAGGAATTTTTGCAGGAGGGGGTTTGCCAGGTTCCTGAGACAATGTCTCTCCCTCCCCCCCCCTCCTCCCACATTGCCTCTATCGTCATTTTGGCGTATATACATACACATTGAGCTTTTTAAACAGAGAAATTCACCATCTCGTTTGACGTCAATTTTTATTATGAATTAATACAATGACATTGTGATTCAATTTCATGGATGCAAAGCATCAATTGTGATATCACATAATGTCTATAT